CACCAAGCCCGTAAGACCAATGCCAAGCTTGGACAAAATATCCATACCAAGCAATACAGGTACGTTTTCCTCAGAATAGAATGGAAATACTTCAAACAAATGGTTTTTATTTGATTTATTGTAGCTAATGTGCAAACGTACCGCACCTATTCTAGGCACAGTCGTTACTTCATGAGCCATTTGAACAAAGCTCTCATCATCATCATTAGCCTCAAATCCAGCAAGAGAGGTTCCTCCTAAGAATTGAAAGAACTTGTCAGTGACGCACGAAAACGTAGCACCCGTATCCACTAAGCCAAAGCAAATGACATTTTGAACCACAATAGGAACACAAATAGCATTGGTGGTCATAGTAGGTGGAGCACTAAATCTAGCATCGAACTTACATTGCTGAGCAAATATATTTTGTAGCGTATCGTCGTCCACAGACATGCTACTCATCTCTTTTTCAAGAAGAATAGACTGGGCACGATTCACCAGGTCAGTATCCTCAAAGATACCATGAGCTTCACTCATCACAGCATCTTGGTCAACATCAACATTGTCACTACCACCAGAAGAAGGAGCAAGGACAACATCATCCACCGATTGTTCAGCAGAGGAGAGAGCAGGGGAAGAAGCACCTTTCTCAGCTAACGCACGATCAACACGAGCAGAGAGAAAAGCAGCTTGGATTGCAGCATCCATCGAATGTTTGCCACCACGTTTCTTAGTCATGGCACGCAAAACTTTTTTACCACCATTGCCCTGATGGGTGTTACCACCACCAGTACGAATAGCAGTGTTGCAGTGATGTATCTGCCCCTTTGGTCGAGGACCATTACATTTGGAGCAAGTCCCTTCAGCAACATGTTCAGCAAATGTTTTGCCAAAACGATTAGCACTAGAACGTGGAGAGTTGGACGAGGGACCATTGGATCTCGACGAAGAGCTACTTTGAAAAGCGTTTCCACTAGAAGAAGGTGCGTACCGAGACTTCTTTGCTTCGTTCGAAACAGGTATGTCAGCAGCGCGTTTTCTTCCATCAAAAACAGAGCCCAAAGATTCTTGACCCGTCTCAATAGCCATCATATCCATCTTGCGCACGAGAGAGGACACATAATCAATGTCATAAAATGACGATTCTGGTGCCTGACTCATAGCAACCATTAGCAACCTAGCGGTAACCTTGGGGAAAGCGTCAAAAAACACCATCGCTACGACACCCTTATCACTGATGTCAGCTCTATTTCTCAACGTCTTAAACCGCTCTACGAAACCATCAACGGATTCTTCGTTTTCTTTAGTACAACGAAGAAACTCCCTAATTCTTTCGAATCTGAGCTGTTCTTTTGGTGTACCAAAACGACCGATGATAGCTCCCTTCAAGGTAGCCCAGGACACAGTGGAGCCAGATGCTTTCACAAACTCATCAAGCCAATTGCGAAGATCGCCGGGAAGACAAGGAGGAAGCAAACGATACCAGTGTTCGTCAAGATCAAGCGTGCAACTGCTCAACTTATCGGAAAACCGGCGACAACACTCCTCAATGTTGGCAAAAACTTCCTTTTTTTCATCTTTGACACGTCCAAACCATTGGAACAAAGGAAGATCATCAGGTACAGTTGAACTATTAGCCGCACCTTGACTAACCACTGTTACTTTGGAAGGACTCTGGTTAGGTGTGACCATAGAGAGAGCTTTCTCTATAGCCTCCAAGTTAGAGCACTTCTTCGACAGGGCAGCCTTCAAAGCGTCGACCTCTTCGTCCGACTTGTCCCCACTGTTCGCAACTTCAGCGATCAACCCATGAACCTCCTGACGAAGTCGCTCTACAGCTCCTCCGTACGAAAGCTCGCTTCCAACAGCTTGAACATCTGAACTCTTGTTCTGTTCTGCAGGAGACACAGTAGAATCATTCATAGTCATATTTTCGGTTTAAATTAGATAGGTAGGTTAAAATCTGGAAGATTCTGATTTACACGATCTTAAAAAATGTTAAGCACAAAGAATAAAAGGATTATTATTTGTAGCTTATAAAAAATGTTCGATATTATAAAAACAAGAAAAGACTTATTTGAATAAGATCAGACACAAAAACTAAAGATTTATTGATGAAGACAGGAGTTATTCTATTTATACTAAGTTCTGAATGCCAAAGTAGCAATTTATCTTGTACAACGCTTATCACATCTGGTGAACCTCAGTATTTAGATAGCTGAGATGCACTTCACTTATCATAGCTTGTCCATGTTGTTGCACAACACAGACATATCTACCCATCAAGAATACCTTAATCTTTATAGACAGTTGTAGCCCTTCTGGCACAACAGACATGCTCTAGCACCTGAGGGAAATTTGATGATAGCTACCGCTATATTGCTATATATAGCGGTGTTTAAAATTTTGCCTCACATCAAAACAGGGGGAAACCCTCGCAAAATTTTTTTTAGGTCAGCGGAGTTTTCAAGCAATTTAATTGGCTCAGAAATTGAAGCAGAGGAGGATTACAACTAGCTGATCCCCTATGGATTTGCCATTTAGTATGATATTGTGTTTATAATAAAAGGGTAACCAAATAGATACAAATTAAAGCTTTCTTTATTCAAAAAAAAGATAATGAGGTGCCATATATTTGATCTAGCATCTATTATACAGTTTTCTATGTTAGACGTCTTTTACACTGACCATGTCAGGAGATTATACAGATACTACTACTTCATTATTACAGTGTTGTTTACATCATTATTGTTACAAAAATTGTGTTTTGAGCTATTGAAATTCGCATTGAAAGTAGCATGTTCCTATGACAGAATTTATGAAAAAAAAAGATGGTATAATTGGATTTTAGATTAGATGGGGTTGATGCCGAGAAATAGAAGTTTTTTTTTTTTGAAATAAGGCAATTTTGATTAATAAGGCTCCTATAAGAACCTATTGATTACAAGCAATTACGAGTAATATATCGATAGACGAACTGTTGCGAAATATTGTATTCAAAACTGCTTGTTGTTAATATCTTGCTTCGTTGTGGTGTGGCAAAAGGTTAAAGCAGCTGTGCTGGGCATTTTATCAAGAAGGGTGAACAACTAATCCTAGCCCAATGTTGATTCTAGAGACTTTACATGAGGACCATTATACACTTCTGGTAAGGGGTCGAGCAAGCAATTTTAGACTATTTGGGCAGGAACTGATCTGTAGGGCCCTGAAGATTCACGAAAATTAATGCTACTGCTGCAAGAAAGATCTCAAACGTTAGATGCTTCTTGAGTTTACATTAGGAAGAGTATTACAAACAAGTTGGTACATTTCTAGTAGATGCTTTCCTTTGAAAACCATGAAAACCATGAAAAGCCAGCCTGTTTAAATATAAACGCTGGGTAAGCTATTAAGAGTGGTACCATTTGATGCTGCTTCAATTCTGTACAAACTGACTATGCAGCACTGGAAACAGCGTATGCTACTGAGTAAAGATATTTGATTTTGACTGATTTTTTTATATACTTTTTGGCCCCATCTGGTGCGCTCCCGTCTTTATATACACTTATGTAGGCATCGAGATAGATGCATGGACTCATAATCCAGTGAATAGATCTTTTGACCACCAATAAGAATGCTTTAGGTTGGCTGCATTTAACATCGTTTATGATAGATGTTGTTAATAGTTTATATACAATGGGCTTGAACCTAGTGAAGTTTATTAAATGTTGTAGATGAATAAAGCAAAGCGGGTTTAAGGATTAAGCCAGTTCCACCTTTTTGTAGGTGTGCTACTACCAGTATGGAATAATATAAAGCAGACTAATGTGTCATTTCTAAACTGAATTTCTAAATACGAAGAAACACTTAGTTCGAGCATAGATCATATTAAATCATACTTTGGCATGAATTTATTTACGATTCCAGTTATGGCATGTTAAGGACTATAGATTGGATCTATTGTCCTATTAGCCAAATCATCCCATCTAGTACCTTATCCTCACATCAATTCCCTCAGCTCGAACAGTATATAAACCCTTTTATTTCCAATGTAATAAACGATATTTTTTACCTGATTAATTTTAAACAATTTATTTCTGATTAATCGCAGACAAGGGTGAAGTAAACCTAAATCAGTGGTGGTATCCTAACAACTACACTTCTGTTCAAAATGCATCGGAAGATACATTTAGGTGCTATTTATTATGCTAGGGTCCACAGTTTGATAATAAACTGTTATATAATAAGATTAATAATTTACCCTGCAAGTGTTTTGCTTGATTTACTCAGAGATTCATACAAACAGCTCAAAATTGTAGTATGAAATCTTATTAAGACGTTTGATCTAGAAAAAAAATATCAACTCATTTTGCTTATAAGAGTCAATTCGTGGCATGCTTTGTGTGTCATAAACCCACTTTTATTCTAGCTCTTGGTCACCGCAGTAACCATTGCTTTTTCGGCTGATTACAAATTAAATTACCACGAAGAACAGCATAAATGCATGCCATCTTTGACAGCATCAGATGGGCGGGGAGAAGCTTTCATGTATTCCGTGCTTCTTCCGACTCTTCCGTAATTTAAAGTCTATTTGTTGTGCCTGAATCGGCGAAATGAAACATCAACGATGATTTAGCCCAGCCGCCTTCCTTTTACAAAATGTTGGTAAAGAGCATTTGTGGATTTACGCGCCAGGTAATATTAGAGCTAGTCTAATATACTTCTGCTTGACCTTATTTATAGATTCATCTACATCATCATCATCTCACAGTTTGCTGCCTTGATTCGCTCTTTACCACAAATGAAATGCATGTATGACACTCTCATGTAAACTCCTGTCCCTCGAAAGAAGATCGTTTGGAAATCAGAGAAGAGTCAGTTTCCAACGGCACCAGAACCAGTAAAGGAAAGCTTCCGTCGTATCACAACTAAGTTTTTTGTGTTCGCGTAAATTAATATGTAATAATATAAATAGGGCGCATTTCTCGAGACGATCGACCTCTCTTTTCTTTACAGCATACGATACGACTTATCTTTACAAAATGACTATTGAAGCAGATACTTTCCCCATAGGCTACTTTTATATCATCTCCAAAATGAATGGATTGGCTTTGGATATTGACCTTTCTGAAGGTCCCGCCAAGGTAAGCACCCTTTCTCGTGAAAACTCGAAAGATACGTTAAGTGTGTTATATTGTAGGCTGGTGCTAAGCTTGTCACTGCTACCAAAAAGGAAGATAAACTTGAAAGAGACTCCCAACTTTGGATTCACCAAAATGGTGCGTAACTGGAGATACACAAAATTGACAGTTATATTAAACGACTTACTGTTCACCAGGTTTCTTGACCAACAAATCTGTTGGTTTAGTCATGGACATTGGCAAATCAAAAAAGTTTATTGGTGAGTACAGGATCGACATTAAATCAGCATCCAAAGCTTAGTTAGTGCCAATATAGACATCTTTACTGGCCATGATCATTTATACGTTGACACTATGAAGCACGAAGAGAGTGTAAGTGTTATAAAGGTCGCAACTTCAACTCGGAACAGGCACTGAATGTAACACAAACTTTTATACACACGTATAGGCTAATGATCAGCGCTTTGGATACTCCAGTGAACATGGACATATCTACACCTTGTCAGACGCCAATGATGTCGTTGACATCCGCAAGAAGAATCCTGAAGTTGGAGCTACCATCATGATTTACAAGAAGGCTGAAGTCGTGGAAGAGGGCATCAACCAACTCTGGGATCTTCAACTCGCAGATCCACCCAAGCAAATTGATTCTTCCGATGACGAGGATGATGACAACAAGAGCGCTCGTTTAAGTGCTTGGTTTGGTAGCTGGTGGGGCTGGGGAGACGATGACAAAAACGACGTCTTGAGAGAGAAGGAGCTGGAGAAGGCTCACAAGAAGGTTTATGAAAAGAAAAAGTCCAACTTGACTTACGAAGTGATTGCTGGTGCTGTTGCAGCTGAGGCCGTGAAGCAAATCATTGCAAAGCAAGAGCAAGAAGGTCAAACTGTTCATTTCAAAGGTAATACGCTGTACAGAACATCTCAAAAACTGCCATTAACCTTTCTGAACCCACATAGGCGCTAAGCAAGCAGTCGCTGCATATGCTGCCAAGGAAATGGTTCAAATGCTTATGGAGAGAGGTACCGATGATGACGACGCTGACGATGACGAAGAAACCAAAGAAAAGAAGCAAACTATGCTCCAAAAAATGGCAGAGAAGGCCGCCGTTAACTACTACGAATCTAAATGCAAATAATTTAGCATTGTGTAAATCATACCATAGCAAAAAGCTGAAAACTTTATATATTTATGCATTAAAATAAAAAGTATCACTGTTTGCTCACAATAAGTCTTTACATATATTCCTATGTGCTTTACCGAATTGGCTCCATTTTTATTATTAATTCATATCAACTACTGCTAGTATCTCTTCGTCAAGTTGATGCGAAGGTCTACTGGTTTGACAGATCCGTAGCCTTCGCCTATACATTCATCTTTGTGAATTGTATCATCTGACAAGCGCCATTCAAATTTGCGTACTAAACATTAGGTGTGTAAGGAGTCCATTAGCAACAGTAATGCCTCCTCATAATCATTTGGACTTACATAGCATGGACAAAAATACACGTTGCTCAGCATAGCTAAAGTACATTCCAGGGCAAGTATGGCTTCCACCGCCAAAGGTTACAAAATTGCTGCCATGTTTGTTTGATGCAAGGTCCGTAGCGCCGAGAAACCTTTCTGGTTTGAACTCTTGGCCGTCTTCCCAGCTCATATGGGTTGCAGTGATATCAACATCAACAGATGTGCCTTTGGTGATTAACAAGCCTTCAATCTCTACATCTCTGGAAGCAACGCGGTTCAGTGTTTTAGTAAGGGGACTATTCAAGCGAAGAGTCTAAGAAAGGCATTAGCATCTATTGGTATTTGCATTCATATTGGTGATGGCAAACCTCCTTAATTACAGCGTCCAAGTACTTCATTTCTTTCAAGTCTTCTTTTGTAGGAAGAACGTCTTCAGGCTCATCACCGAGGACAGACAGCACTTCTTCTCTTGCCTTCTTTTGAATATCTATGTTGCGTCCCATTTGTGCAATGGCAAATGCTAGCGAGATAGCTGTCGTATCATGGCCTGTGTGAAAAGAATTGTCAGTTAAATGCGATGCAAAGACTGCAACATCCATCAACATACCAGCAAGAAAGAAGCCGGCAATGTTTCTCTAATTTATATATTACTAAACAATCAATTATCGCTAGGTTTCGCATAATCACACACCTTTAATTCCAAATCAGAGAGCTTGCCTTCACCCTGGTGTTCTGCTTCCAACATAAGTGTCAAGATATCTTTCTCAGCCTCAGGGATGGTGGAAAATCTAGAGTCTTTTGAGTTCATCTCGGCTTTTCTTTCCATTACTACTTTGTCAATACTGCCCAAGAGTTTATCGAGATCTCTGTGAGCAGCAACTCTGTGAGGAAACATCCATTTCAACTCGTCATCAAATATTTGAAACAGGATGAAAAAGGGGTCGGTCAAATTTTCTCTGATATTATCATACACTTTGATCCACTCATTATCTACCACCGAGACGCATTCAAAGTCGAATCCTGAATGTAAATATATCAGCAGGAATGCCTCTGGTTATGGCATTTATTGCATGTCTTACCAAATCCAGCAACACTAATGGCATCCAGGGTCATTCTCCCACAGACATCAGTTACACAGAGGTTTTCTAATCCGAGAGTTTCCATCATTTTTATGGCCTTTTGGCTCAATTGACCAAAGATATTGATCGGAAGCGCCTTATGAAAAGCAGGATTAATGACCTAAGAAACAGCGTTAAGTTTAGATCAAATAGACTTGTGTTGTGCAATGCTAGACCTTACTTTTCGATGTCTTCTCCATTCAGCACCTTCGAGCGAACCAACATGCTTTCCACCAATAAATCTGTAAACCAGACTACCTGCTCTTCCAAACATGTTCTCTGCCTTGGGAAATGTTTCTGATTTGAGTGAGTAAACTATACTGCTACCGTGTTTTAAAGTAAAACCTTACCAGAATCATTGAGAATGGCCTTGTTGATAGTGGGGTTTGTAGATCTGATTTGCCAGCCCACATGCGAGGGCTCCTATGCAGGCTTGTCAGACCAACAAGCAACAGCTCTATAAGGATACTTACCACAAATACACCATTGGCTTTATCCAGCAGAGGAAGCGCAAGCTGCTTTCTTTGGTCATATATACGATCGCCACGGAGAATGGACTTGATAAGGTCTATATATGTGATGCAAGGAAGACCGTTGAAATGCTTTGGAGGAACAGTGAGTAACCTGTAGACATAGCCAGTTAAGAGAGACACCGTAACAGCTGCACTGATGCTGACTACTGTCTTTTTGTTCTTCTTGATACATGGTAAACACACGCTGACAAATTTTTCGTCTAGGTACTTTAAGTTTTCAGTAACAAAATTCATATTGTATGAAAAGAAGATGGGTATGAAAATGCCACAAATCGAAAACGAGCCTCCTTTTATACGCTGTTGTTTTATGAGCGGCCTATTAGGGCTGCACGGCCCAGACATACATTTTTTATGAGTCAAATCAATCCGTATTCTCGGAGACGCAGATCAATGTTGCTCAAACAAGTGTTACGGAGATTAATCATTTCTGATCCCCTTCCATCTCTGCCCAAATGTATATGGATATGTTCTTATATTGCGGTGTGTTATAGACTATTCGCCCAGATACACTGTTTATCCCTGCACCCCCTCAAACGTTGGCTGTACTTCATATCAAATGGAAAAGCTCTATGTACTGGATGCAATTGATGCTGTTCTTCTCAAGCTCGTATTCAACATATAGAACTTTCTGGAGATAGACAGTCGATGGTATACTACTACGTGGATCATCATACTTAGACGTTGCACTCGCGCTTCATTGTGTCTCCTGTACTCCTGATTAAAATCAAATTTTCAGCCTAGAATCAATCACTGAGACGTAGGAATAGCCATGATGGGATGTGATCTACCAAGATTTTTTTATTTTATTTGTATGAAGTTTTATTGATTAAAATAAACACATAAAAGATACTTGTATAAATGGCAGCGGGTGTAGTATAAAGTGACCCGTCCAGAGAGGGCAAAGAATATTAATTGATCCAGTTCAGAGAGGATAAGTTACGCAGGTTGGATATGGCTCTATCCACTATGGATTGATTGTCAATGCCAACATTGTCATAGTATGCTGGCCACTTGGCGCGCCAAATGGTTGTAAGTACACAAGTAATGGCCACAAAGACAGAGACCTTTAAAGGAGAGTCAAGAAAATGGAATGAGGAGAGGTTCAGAGACATGACGTTTTGATAAACCTCACTCATATCCAGAGCTCCAAGAGGCAAGAAGACCAAGGCAAAGTAGTTGGACAAGATTTCCAAATTTGATTGACAAGTGAATAACATCTGGGCGGTAGTTTCGCGATGGCCACTGTATTCACAGAGATCATCTGGTAATCTCAAAGGAGTGTATAAGTTAGCTTTGGATGAAACCTTATTATGAATCAACCGGAACCAAAGATTACGAGCTGTACTGGGCATTTTCGTTTGAAGAAAAGAGGCCACAGCGAGTCGATTTACATTCACCCTAGGGTTGGTTACTGGAGAGAGATTGCGCCTGTATATGGCACGAAGCTCAGTATTAGACATGTACAGGATCATAATACCTTGGTAGATAAGCTTGTGACATTAGTAGGGCGACAGATCAACACCTCCGCCGGTGACAGGTAATGGCTCAGGGACAGCAGGAAAAGATAAGTAAATGATTGGCAAGGATGGCAAGAACTGGATGTCGTTATCACGAACAGCAGCAGTAACAGTGGACCAAAGGGTGGGTTTGGGGCAGTTACGCCTTGCTTTAAACAATAAAGAGTCTTTTAAACGGCTTGGCTCGAGAAGAATTTGCGTAGGCTTCATACGAATTTGATTGTTAGTGACAAAACAGATATCAGAATGAGCCTGGTTGCATAATTCTAACAGTATCCAGCGACAAGGAACAGTCAGTCTAAGACGATTCAGCAGCAAAGACGTCGACCGAGCGGAAGACGGTGAGCAAACAGTGTTGATCAATCAAGGGTGATCCAGTTCACGTGTTACGGAACAACAGTGGCAGTTGAGGGTGGGACGCCCCGTATGTAACCTGTATGAAGACGCATAGTAATTGCATGAGGAAAGCAGGAATTGGGCGAGAGACCTGGTTATCCAAAAACAGAGCGCGGACATACCGTTGTTGCAAAATATGTCGTTGGACTGTAATTTCAACGACTCCAAGACCATCAACGTGCTTAGGCAGATGCATGACAGACTTCTTCAAGCGAGGTAGTATTTTGCGACACACAAACTGATATTCCATTGAAGAGATCTTTCTGACGAAAGCGGTGGGCAGAGTAGTGACACGCAGCATATGGCAGAAATGAGCAAGGAACAACGAGTTGACCATAGTAGCGCGACCATACACCGAAATGTTTCTTGTCTTATGTCTGTCCAGAGACGCTTGGAGCTTCAGGATAGTTTCTTGCCAAAATCCATCCCGTTGGGCTTTGCTGAACCAGATTGGATATCCAAGATACTTGATGTAGGAGAGACACATCCGAGTTATACCATTGAAATTGCAGACGACTAGTGAGGCGAAACAAGTCATCACACACTCTAGACCTATCTCCCGACGGAAGGAAGGCAATAGACTTGTGATAGTTGACTCGTGCATTGGACGCTCGACCATAGTAGGAAATGTGATCTTGAATAGTCTGCATCTCTTCATTATTGTTGATAAAGACCAAAAAGTCATCAGCATAGGCCAGTAACTTGGCAGGAGGAGAAGCCACCAATTCGAATGAAGACAATTTGGCAGCCGTGATGTTTGATGCAGTACTGATGTCCTCGTTTAGTGTTTGTGCTCTTATCCATTATCTGTATTTTGACGATTTTAACTTCAATATATTTTATTCCTCATCATTGCAGACATTGGGCCCACCAACAGTTTTTTCTATCTCTCAGTATGACACCCTAAGGACTTATGCCATTGTTGGTAAGAGATTTGCATGCGTAGGCCTCTTCGTTCAGTGGGTTGCTAGACAAATATACTATGTTCAGGGTTTGAATTATCTGGGCAGGGCTGACTATCACAAAAGAACGAAAAAGATTAGATTTGTTGAGAACTGCCAGCTACCATCAATCATTACCAAATTGAATTTTGTTTTCCTCTTGCAAATTGTAATGTGTAATTCCTGTAGGGTATAAATAATAGCGAAATGGCCGGCTGTTTATGGTTGAAACGTTCGCCAGGATAGGCTTAGTAGGGCCATCCAGATAGCAGATATCAATATCTGCCATGTTTTCGATCCGTTTTGTGAGTTCTGTAACGTTGGTTTTATTGTAAGCTCTGCAGAAAAATATGCAAACTGCTTGGTCCCTCGAAATTATGGGCATTATATGAACAAAGAAAAGTGGGGAAAGAAGGAACTCTTTTTTTTGAGATATTGTCATTGCAAAAGACACTTTTATAGGAAAAAACTCCAAAGAAAAGAAAATTATTTGGGCTAATCAACTATCTCTTTAATTCCATCATCCCCATTTAATCAGTATCGCAATTATCCTTGTCATCATCATTGCCAGCGTCAGAAGAAAGGCATTTAGGTCAGCCAGCAGCAAGCCGCCGCCGCCAAAACTTATTCAAACCCAGGCTCGTTTTTTTGCCCAAGATTGGACAGATATTGTCTTTTTTCGATTTCTTTAATCTATTTTATGATATTCGACTATATAAACTGTGATGATCACCCTACGCTTTCTAATACATTCTTGAAGTACTTCTCAAGGCGTTTCCAATGGAGCTAACTGTAATAAATGTTTTGACTGAAATTATTGAGAAATTCCAAAAAATATGAAATAAGGTTTTTGGGCACAATGTCGAAATTTTGCATATGAAAACTTAATTGAGGCGGTTTCAAAAGTTGCTTTGGATCGAGAGAAACGTTTTGATTCAATATATACTATAGTAAAAGTCTTTATTTTCAAGGTGAAAAATGCGATCGTTTGATTTTCGATGGAAACCATGAGGGGGGTACCTCATGGTTTTTGATCGATTTTTGGCCATATTTTTTTTCGTTCAAAAAGTAGAGCAAAGGTGTCAGGAAGTTACTACTACTCAAGTACACTTGTTTGGCGTCATTTCGGTGGCTCATAAAGGCCTACATGTCAAAATATGAAGGCTTGAAATTTGTCAAATTTGGTTATGTTTTGCTGCATAGTTTTTATTTACACGGCATGAATTACATCTTTGGCAGCCGAAATCTTCTGGAGAGCAGTTCTGCAGCCTGTGCAACTTCTAATTCGAGTAGGAGACATATTGATTTTGGCACAGCCAATTCATACAAATTTTGATGCGTTATGTTGTTGGGCTCCCCTATAAATAATAGAGGAAATGAGAAAGCGAATTTGCTGCTTGAATATTATGGTTTTTCTCCTTTGCTTCGCTACCGTAAACCCCTCCTCAAGATTAATATTACCAAATGTTGGGTTAGATGCTTAGTTGCCAAGGTTTTTCACCTTCACTTTGCTACAATAAAACCGCCTCATAATAGGTCAATGTTACCAAATGTTGGATGAGACGCGTAATGTTTTTGGTGAATGGACTTAGCACCTCCTCCAAACCCCCCTCCCTAATGCCAGCTTCGCCGGTGGTTTATTTGCCTTGTATGGTACTCAATTCTTTAAATTTTTGAAAGGATATGATTTGTTTGTCTTGAATGTTTTACACTATATATAATGATGAGTTAAACCAACCCAGATTCTCGGAGAAGCAGATCACTGTTGCTCAAACAAATGTCACTGTGATTAATTATTTCTGATCTTAATCTACCCCTGGCTAAATGGATATGGATATGCTTTCATATTGTAGTGCTTTATAGGCTATTCGCCCTGACACACTGTTTATCCCTGCAACCCCCTTAAATGTTAGCTGTACTTCATATCAAGTGGGAAAGCCTTATGTATTGGACGCAGTTGATGCTGTTCTTCTCGAGCTCGTACTCAACATACAGAACTTCCTGGAGATAGACAGTCGATGGTATACTACTACATGTGTCATTATACTTGGTCGTAGCACTCGCGCTTTATTGCTCCCGATTAAAGTCAAATTTTCAGCCTAGAATCAATTACTGAGACCTAGGAATCGCCGTGATGGGATCTGATCTACCAAGAAATGCAGTGAGAACTTTAACCTGGTGTTTTCGTTGCACACGGGCAAAGTGTTGTAACATCACAAGTCAAATACGACGGTAAGAGTGGGTGAATAAATACCCATTATGAAGCTTCATGGCCCCGGCGATCTTAAAACGCTACGCTAATTAACTCTAGAAAATCGCTTTTATACCACTTTTTAAATATGATAGCCACATAGCAATACCACTTGGATTGACATTTTGCAATATAAGCAATAATGGCCGTCTTCCACGGTCGGTTTTGGTTCCTTGAACCTTCTGTCATGCGTTGTTTGGTTGGTCATATCGGCGCTGGATATACAGTTTTTCCAACACATGAACAACTCTAAATAGTTGAGATTATGATGAAAGAAATTGACAAGCCCAAGCCAATGATTAAATGGGGATTAGCATGAATTATCCTTCATTCGGTCCTCTTTTCTTTTCCTTCTTTCAGCATCATATCAACATTTAAGTGACGCATATTAGTATGAGTCAATTGCAACCAAATAGCATTGCACCTTATCGCCCTATATCGCCACCGTCCATATTAGCGCAAACACCCTCAATAGAACAGCGCCAATACTTCCAGGAAGCCCTATCGAGGCCACCTTCATACATGATGTGCCATGGTGATAGTCAGACAAGTGCATTTGCAGAGAACGAGCAGTTACATTTGCAAGTGGTACAAGAATTGGCAGAATACTACAATCGACAAAACACTCGGCATCACTATCTAGACAGGCTGCTTTTTTGGAGCACAGGCGAGGAAAATGGAGGAGAAAAGATCAAATACAAGTACGCGCTGCAGTCATGTGTATCGAGTCAATTTAGAGGAACACCGTTTCTGATATGGACCATCATTTTCATATTTGCTGGGTGCATATCTGTGTTTACAGGGCCGAATGGAGCGCAGGCATTGTGGATACTGCTGGGCGTGTATCTGATCATTGCCTTGGTGGGCTTTCAGCGTAGACGTAAAGAGGCCAAGCGCATTGAGGATTTAGAGAGATGCATTGCGGATCAGCGATTGCAAAGAAGGGCATTGATCAATCAAGCGCATCCTTTACCCGAGGGTTACTATTTCGAAATTCAAAATCACAGCAAAGATCACACACATCCGGTTGTTACGCTGCTACCCCCACCACCAGCCTATGATGTGCATTGAAGTGTAATTCCTAATTATACAAGAGTGTTCCATGTGTGCCTGGCACTGATTAACCCTCTCTTTATATACCCCTACACAACAAAAAAAAGAACAATATGATGCCATCATTGCGTTGCCATAGATACGCATGGAAGTGTTCATGCGTTTGATAGGGCCGTCATCCAGTCATCAGCATAAACAATAAATTACACTCAGTTTCGTTTCTGTCTCTCTCTCTCTTTTCACCCTAGTCTCTTTTTCTTCTCCTCTTATTTATTGTTTACATTGTATGTTTAAGCGTCATCGCCCTGAAACGGGTACGGGTGATTACAGTCGACTAGAGCAGCACGACGAAGAAGATGAAGCGTATTACAGCGAACAGACACTCCACCATCCAAATTCAGTGCTGGTAGCAAATCATCATGGCCACTGTAACGTAGTACCTTTATTATCCCAAAACATGCCTGTAGCATCAACAACTCCACATCACTCTCCACCACACTCACCGCGAGCTTCGTTCTCTGCTGCCACCCATGTCACGCGTCGATTCTTCCAAACAAGATTACCCATCGTATTCAGAAAGGACATGGCATCCACTGCTTCATTTTCTTCGTTACCCCCTGTGATCATTGCAGATCTTCAGAATGGCAACATACCAGAGATAGCTCAGCAAGACGAATCAGGCTCAAAGAACGACCAGGGCTGGACCATCATACACAGGCGACGGTTCAGGGGAAAGCACGGCATTGGTGAAAGCAGACATCCCAACTCATCCAGTAGCTCTGCCATGGAAGTGATGATTGACGAGGAAATTGACCCCTCTGATCAGGTTACGTGCTCTGTGTTTGTGAAATGGCAGCCCGAGAGTGGATCACAAGATCAGCAACCACAGCCTTATACCATGACCATGTCACCTTTATTCGCCAACAAAGAGGAAGAACAAGCTGAACAACAGGATGTGCGGGTAAGTCTTATTGTTGCGGCGTATGTTTCATTTGCAGGCAACAATGAGTGTATTAACCAGGCAACAGTATTTTCAAGATCCTATACCTGAAACAGAAGAGAGATTCAAAGAGATTGTTCAGTCTGTGAGAACGGCTATCGAAAACAACATGCAGCCCACTCGTATCAGTCAAGGCTCCAGTGGATCTTACTTTTGCAGAAACTCGTCGGGTAAGATTGTGGGCGTGTTCAAGCCAAAGAATGAAGAGCCATATGGCCGTCTGAATCCAAAGTGGACAAAGTGGATCCATCGTCATTTGTTTCCATGCTTCTTTGGTAGATCTTGCTTGATCCCCAACTTGGGCTATCTGTCTGAAGCAGCCGCTTCTCTCATTGATAGAAAACTGGGCACCATGGTGGTCCCTTACACAGATGTTATTCACATGTCATCGCCAAGTTTTCACTATGACTATCTAGATAGGCGTTCTCAGCATGGACTACCACCCAAAATTGGCAGTTTTCAATGCTTCCTCACAGACTACAAGGATGCCACTGTGTTCTTTAGAGACTATCCTTACCATGACTATGAATATGCTGAGAGTAGAGCCATGAGCAGAAGCTCTGTATGGGGCGGCTGTCTTGGTAGAAACGACGACCTCGATGAAGACAATACCGTGCTGTATAACATGAGCCATCAAGTACAGCAAGAAGAAGAAGACAGTGATCATACACAAGTCGCCACCACACCCATGCCATCCACACCCACGACAACGACCACCTCCAACACATACCCTCATGATACCACCACACATAGTAAATTCAGCAAGAAACCACACAAAAAGACCAGCCATCAAGAGTTTAGATGGACACATCCGTTACAAAAGCAGTTTCGTCGTGAATTTGAGCAATTGGTCATACTGGATTATCTCATCCGTAACACAGGTATATATAAAAGCAAACAAACATAGGGACACTGTGCTGATAATCTCCAAAGACCGTGGATTGGACAATTGGATGATCAAATACTGTCCCCCCAAAGCGCCTAAAAGCAGCCATCACCATCAGTATCAGCATCATCATAACCCTCCGTCCTCCGCATCTTCATCGTCCAGCAGCAGTTGCAGTAGTCATTGCGCAAATGACGATGATCAACTCAACAAACAAACATCTTCCAAGCAGCAGCCACAATTACAAGAACGAAAGGGACATATCCACGTTGCAGCTATTGATAATGGACTTGCATTTCCCTACAAACATCCAGATCAATGGCGCTCTTACCCTTATGGTTGGATCGCTATGCCTGATACACTTGTCAGCCGACCCTTTTCAGAGGCTACACGCAAACAATTCTTGCCCATTCTGTCAGATCCTCTGTGGTGGCGAGACACAGTGAGAGAAATGCGTGCCTTGTTTGAATTGGATGACGATTTTGATGAAAAGATGTTTCAAAAGCAAATGGCAGTACTCAAGGGACAAGGATACAACATTATTCGTACACTCAAGGATCCAGCTGCAGGGCCTATTGATCTGGTTGCTATGCAACGCGTGGTGATCAATCAAGAGGAAGTGTTGATTGAGTATGATGATCGAATTTTGCAGAGCAGAGGCTTGCATTTACAGACACCTGCTTCCAATCCACCCACATCATCCTCTGCTGCAGCGATGGATATCTCGGATGCCTTGCCTGCCAAGAAGAACGCTCAAAGACTTAGTGGTAGCAGAAGATTGCGTACACAGCGATCCACATCATTTGATGTTATTTCGACCGCAAGTTCGCCATTTTACGACGATGAGGAGGATGAGGAGGAGGATGTGGATCTTGAAGCAGGCTATTTCCCGCCAATGACTGCTGTTGCTGCAACAACTGCTCGGCAAGAAAGAAAATGGAAGGATAAGCTCAAGGATGGATTATCCATGGATCTAGGAGGTGCTGGCTTGTTTGGCAAAAAGAAGAAAAAGAAGAGTAAAAGCAATAGATGTAGAGCATTCGACAGCGATGGTGATATTTCAGACCGCAATGACACGGATTCGTTCGACTCACAGGAAGAGGAACAGCAAAAGCCGAAAAGGGTTACTGTTGTCATGGAAACCATTGACGTTGTACAGAGTAGAACGTATTTTACATGCTGTTAATTTATTTCAAATACAATTGACTTCTCCAGTTCCTTTTGTCGTTGATAATCCATCAAGAGTTCGTATTTTTGACGCTTGGAAGCCTCTACAAATTGAAGTACTTCTAACAGTTTCTCTCTGGCTTTCTTCATGTTGGGTTGGAAGATGTGGACACCGTACATGGTGGTGACAATCAGTTCGTCTAATCCATCGCGGTTGAGATCCAGATGTGTCATGCGATAAATAGGATAGGCAAACTGTCTCTTCCAAAGTACGGTGTACACTTGTGTGCCTGACACTTGCTTGTAGATCAGCACCTGTCTGCCGTACGTGCCAATCAAGATTTCTTTCTCTCCGTCCCAGTCCACATCCATCACATGCGAGCATAAAACACTATCAAAGTTACCAGACAACGGCAGTGTTTTGCTCGTAGAGAGGCCGTCTGTGTCAATGGATCTGTACACGATAGCTTGTTCAATAGCACATGTCACTACGAGATGTAATTCATCGTCTTCCCGAGCTACATGCATGATGGATGAGGTTTTCGTTCATATACACTAATGTTCATTGAACTTACTCTTACTCGATGCTCTTGGCTGAAATACCAACACAGATGTAATAGGACTGAATATTCGAATTGCATGCGATTTGGTTTCTCTTCCGTCCTTGTTGTAGAAACCAAGAAAGAGTTCTCCATTCTGTCCTCCTGCGCAAATCACTCTATTTCCATTTGGCTGATCCAATATATGCATAAACAGTATGCTATACACAGTGTTAGATGGTGAATCCTGCAGCCGTTTAGTGTATACATACTTTGTGCGATGGTTGGATATCTTGCCCATCATTGGAAAACAGGCAGATGATGGCATCTCGACAAACTGGTTCGTCTCAGAGCTCTAATTGAGGGACATCAGTGAGCCAAGGCCGCCTCACATTGATCTCTAGCCTAGTTACCTGTGCATATAAGTGAATGATGCCATCCATTGATGTCAATAGAAATGCCGTTTGTGATTTGCCATGCATGTTGATTCTGGTTCCTAGTCAATACGCCTGCACATCCCTTCACGAAGCAACACTTACGGAACATGCGATATCTGCATTGGCGCTGACGACAATGGTATAATTTGGCTGGCATCGCCAATGGCAAACAATGCCTGCTCCAAGAACGGCTTTGTCTCTGTGTCATTGCCATAAATCCTTAGACTATATGATAGCGATGCATCCTCGCTTTCTTCTTCTTCCGATTTCTACAAACATAGCATTGAGTGCTTTTTGGTTATCGAACAGACATCATCCAGTGAGCTTACTTCTGCAACAGCCAATGCAACAAATAAGCTGATTTTATCATCCACGCTGGATTCTACTGCATCAATCGCAATCACTTCTGATTTTCCTGCTTCTAATCCAAGTGTGATGTTTAAGCAGTTCCAATATCCATCACGAGATATGAAGGCAGTAAGTTCTGATGATGAGGCTGCTATAAAGTGTCGAACAGGTCTTGATAATGCTATAAACAAACAGATCAATATGCAAATTTGCTGTGGTTTGCGGTTGAACTCAATCCCTACGTTGGGTATATTCTGGCGCTGGCTCTGCTGGTAGTTTATCAATGCGTGCTGATGGAAATTCATCTGGTTTGTCCATGTAAGTCGGCAATCGTGAATCCAAGGTGACAAGACCAAATATATTCCTACAAGAAGCTGGCATCAGTCTAGATCCTACTGGCAGCTTCATACAGAATGCATTACGTTCTTTCATAGCCATAGCGTGCGTAGTGAGTTTCTCTGAAAAGAGGATCGTCATCTGTCAAAGCGATATCATTAAACGACATGATTCATGAAGAAAGGAAAAAGTGAAAAAGAGGATTTAACTGGACATGAAAATGTGCGTCGTGTCTTATAAAATGCACTCAAGGATCTACTTGACTCAATCGGATAGCAAGCTACTCAACATGAAAGATTTGCTCTGCAATACCTCATCAGAGTGTAGTTTATTTCGTATTTGTCCTGCTGTTTTTCTGTGTTCAAGTATATATATAAGGTGTATGTTGGATGTAAATATGTAGATGTTGTAACCATAGAGAGAAATTGTGATCCATAGGATGTCAGTTTTGTTCAGGTAAGGTTGTGGGTTGTGCGGTAGATGTCGTTTCTTGTGATTCAAGCATACTGTTTGCATTGTCGTAGAGGTCAGGGAATGATTTGGTGAACTCTTCTGAAAGCAACTGCCGAAATTCCTGTGGATAAACTACCATGAGCAATCCTATTACTTGTATTTTTCTACTGCCTTACCCCAACAGCCTTGATTTTGCCATTTGTAAATTGATTCTCTGTAGCTGCTCTTTCCACGAACGCTTGAGTAAATATATCTGGGTTCTTTCCGTGCTCTACAAAGCTAAAGGCAAGGATGAGAATTCTCGGTATGATATATGATCTTCATCATCCTTTACTTTATCACTTCTTCTGGTATAAATGAGTCTATGCCATCTTTCAAATCATCAATCTCTTTATAGTGTTCGACAATCTCATTACTATACAGAATAGGTATCATTAGACGGCATTTTTCTGTTTGATTGCGATATACATAAATGCTCATACATCTTCTTCCACACAAGCTTATTTCCATCCGCTTGAAAATCATAGACAATGACACTCAATTCAAAAAGTTTTTGTAAAAGCTCGTTTAATTTGTCTTCGGCTGATTGACGCACATGGGCTGATGTATTGTCCTCTGATTGCATTTATGTAGAGATGTGTATAAAGAAAGAGGGAAAAAAAAGTTTTGGGCGAGCCTATACGACGCCAAAAGCTCATTCAAAAGATGAATGCGAAATGAGGAACACTGACTTTTGATTGGATACCAACGTCCATGGATGATTGCAAAACGCACTATTAAAGGCAGACTAAACAGTGGCCATGGGGTGTTCAGGATACGAGCAATAGCCTTGAATGAAGTTGAAGTTGACTATGACATTTGATACTCGTGTTTGGAATGCATGTCCAATTCTGGTCTCGTTTTTGGTAAAATGGAACCACATGTAAATTACATTTAGACATGGTGTAAACAAACGTCGAGTATCAATACAAATAAATTTGGTGCCATAGGACAAAATATATGCATTCACTAATTGAATGACGGGTGTCAGCATGAGCATTGCCGAGCAGCAACCGCTTGATGGTAACAGCTGCCAACGCCTAGTATGATACAAGCTCATGTCCAGAGTATTACCAATCCAACATCTGTTGTCAATCGCATGTTTCATGCCGTATAGATATACCAGATCGGAAGCGCTAATGCCACGAGAAACTTTTCCAGAAACCATTTAATCTGATTCAAATCGGCCCGTATCTGAAACAAACCTGTAATGGAAGTTTCTCTTTTCCAAGGCATTATATAAAGAGGCTAGTTAAATAATCTACGCAGGTACAATAGTACCTGTCAACTCTTTTTGCCCAATATGGTTGCTACTCAAGTATTGCCAGTTTGTAAGTACACATCTGTTGATCCAATCTATTGAAACACCATGCTAATCGTGCACTAGTTCTCGGCCTCTTTGCTCTTGCAAGTGCTCAATTGCAAAACGCTTCTTCTACTTCCTCTCTCATTCGTTACAATGTAATCAATTTGCTTAATGAAACCCATTCTATGGGCGTCTCCATTGACAATGTCACTTATCCCCTGACTCCCAATGGGAATGCTGCTGTCTTGCACTCTGGCCAAGCTCCTGTTGCTACATCTGGTTACAGATATGTCAAGATTACCAAAGAGAACAACAATACTGAAATTGAATCTTTCTTGCGTGCTCCCTCTCAGAACGATACTGTCAACGAGTTTTTCAAACGTAGTTGGAATACCAAGCAACTGGCTCAGCTGCCTACCTTATTTGAACCCTTGCCTGCCATTCATCGTATCCATTCTGAACTGCATAGAGAAGGTGAAATCCCTACCATCCATTTGACTGGTAACCAAACTCTCATTGACATCATGCATAACAGCAGTGGTGCTGACATTGATGTGCCTACCAATATGACCTATATCAGCCTGAACGATACGTTGTCTTACCAAGACGTCACCATCTCCTTGGCTGGTCGTAGCTCTCAATGGCTGCCTAAGCTTTCCTACAACATCAAATTGAGTAAAAATGACAGACTCTACAATTACAGGCGTGTCAAATTGAGGGCTTTGGATACAGATCCATCTTATATCAGAGAACAAATGGCTTATGATATCATCAAATCTACTGGTCTTGCTTCCTCTGAGTTCAGCTATGCTCGTGTCCTCCTGAACGACAAAGAACTTGGGTTGTTTGGTCTGATTGACACTTTCAAAGACCCTTGGTTGGCTAATGTCTTTGACAATGGTAATAGCAAATACAAGAATGGTCATCTGTACCAAGCTGTCTTCTCTACTGCCAACTCATCTGCTGTCAATCACACCTCTGATTTGTCTTACTATAACAATATCACTGCTTATCAAGACGGTCAGTATGAAATCAAGGTCGATGCTGCCAAGGAAAAGAACAACTTTAAGCCTTTGATGGAGTTTACCAAGTTTATAGCCACTGCACCCACCAATACATCTGATGCTGTAGCTGCGTGGAAGAAGGAGCTGGATACCGACAGTTTCCTCCGCGCAATGGCTTTGGAAGTGTTACTTGGTTTCTCTGATGGATACAACACCATGGCTGATAACTACTATCTCTATGAAAATCCTGAAGCCAATAACTTTTTCTATATCCCCTCTGATATGGATCTTACTATGGGCTCTACTATCTTCAAGCTGAATGACATGTGGAGCGGCAACTACAGTACTTTTCCCGGTATGGGCAGTCGTCCCTTGATGAACCAGATCCTACAAGTACTTGAATTCAAGCAACAGTATGAGCAATTGCTGGTCAACATCTCTCAAAGTTTGACCAACCCTGTTGTTGTCAATGCCCGCATCAACGACCTCGTCGACATGATCGCTGAAGATGTAGCTTGGGATCAAACTTTACCTCGTGTTGGCGCCAACATTATCAGTGGCATGGGCGCTTCTCTCGATAATTCCGCTGACAATGCTCCTGCCGACTCTGCTGCTACAGCTGTGATCGGCAATGCTATCCCTGATAACCTTGATATGGAGACTATCAAGGACTTTGCTAGCAGAATGAATATCTCTATTCCTTTCTCTACTGCTGTCAATGGTAACACTGGACATCCTTCTTTGTCAGGCGTCAAGGAGTGGTTCCAAATGTCATCTGAAAATACCCTCAACTTTTTTGGTATGGGTAATTCAACTAATGCCACCACTGCCTAATCTACTTTTTATATTTACATCTACTTGATTTCTTCTGAAATAAACAATCTAATCTCTACATTATTGAAAAGGGTTTTTTAGATACGCTGATAACTTTCCGCGCAACGAGATGACCATGATTTTGCACAGCTTTCAGAAAACGACAGTGATATTGAGCCTAAAGGAATCAAAAAACATATCTGCCTTGAAGCTGTACACTTCAAACTTGTTGCGCCTGAAAACGGCGATTGTATCAGGAGTTGGCTCTTAGCATTGCGAAAATTTTGAAGGATAGCCCGGTCTTTAATGGAGACCTAAAAAGTGGCCTCATTTGGTGTAATGAATAGTGACCGAATGGCTGAATGAAAAAAGCCGATAGGATTGCTATCATGATAGTACACAGTCTGTTTTTATACAAATAAAAACTAGTCAGAGTAGCTTTTAAAAAGTTACTCACTGACTGCATCTTGATGATTCTGTATTCACGATGAATAAGCTTCAAGCTCGGGATATTATCGTACGCAATTTGGATTTTTGCATTTCGCATTAGCATTCGCATTTACATGGGCAATTTTTAGCAATTGGACTTATCATTTATAATAAATGTACAAGTGCATTTATATACTATGGTTAAGCTAAGCTATAGTGTCTTTCAATTCACTATTTCCTTTCTCTAGACGTCAAGGATACAAATTACCTTCATCAATGTGGATATTACCATCAGCAGCAGCCAGAATCCGTTTAAACTCCGGTTCCTTTTTTTTTTTCAGTTCAAGATTGGACAGATTCTGTTCAAAAACGACTTGATTGAACTAACTTGAGAGAACCGACTATACAAAATGTAATAATCACCCCATACTTCCTTAAGCTTCCCTGGAGTACTTTTCAAGGCGCATACAATGGTACCCGTAAAGAGGGGTGTTTTGAACAAGACCATTGAGTAATGTTGAAAATTATGAAATGACGTTTATCGCCAAAATATCGAGGTTTTATATATCAAGGTCTCACAAAAGGGATTTCAGAAGTTGCGTTGGATCGATAGAAACATTTTGATTCAATATATACCATAGCAAAATTCTTCATTATCAAGGTGAAAAACGCGATCGTTTGATTTTCGATAAAAACCATGAGGGGTACCTCATGCTTTTTGGTCGATTTTTGGCCATGTTTTTTAGGTCTTCAAAAAGTTGAGCAAAGGTGTTAGAAAGCATGCGTTAGATGAGAGCAATTGTTTGGTGCTCTTCTGGCGGCCTAGAACAGCTTCTAACACAAGAAAACGCGGCTCGAGTGTATCCGAATTTAGCTGTGTTTAGCATATTTTTGGATAGACAACAGAGGTGATCCAAGTATATTGTCTGCCCCTATATGAAATATTCTCATTAATACACTTGTGTAGGATCGCAGAAGCGACAACTCCACAGCGACAACTCGAAGATGGAGGTTCTTCGTATGAAAGTGGAAATAAAGACTCGATATGGGTAGAATACGGTATTGGAGGCCGCCTACCGTATCTCAATGAGATGGAATAAGGAGGCTAGCCTCTCAAAGTCAGAGGCGCACGTTTTTGCATAATGCATGTTCACGGCAGACACAAATAAACCACTACAGTAATTTCATTGTTTATTCTTTACACGATACAATTGACGTCCCTTGCTAATCAAGATCCTCACCAGAAGATTTAGAAGCACTACCACCGCCACCTAATTGAAGCAAAGGGTTTCCTCCACCAGCACCAGCACCGCCAGAGAACAAATTAGCCATCAAATCTTGCATGATATTGCCCTGCTTTCTTGGCTTTGGAATATTGAAAAAGACGAGACCGATTTCTTGAACAAGTTCCACAAAATTAGCCTCATTACCATACAATCCCTCGTATTTTGTCTTGAGTTCATTGAATAAATCCTTTCCGTCTCTTTGCACAGTCAGCAACAACATTTGTGTGAAATTCATCCAAGGATCTGCGTAAATATGGAATGGTGTGGGTTCGTCAACAGGTGCACGACGCACTTGGGATTCAGCTGCAACAGGTTGTGGTCCAGCTTCAATAAAGTTTTTGTAGGCTAATGTTGCATGATGGATATCCTTTGTTGCCAAAAATCTGAGATAGCGTTAGTCTTTCTCTCTCTCTCTGCATACCACATCAACACACACACACACACACACACACACACACACACACACACACACACACACGCGTGCGCCTACTTACTGAAGGACGATACGGGCAAGATAGGCGCCCTTCCATTGCGTCTTTTCCTCAACAGCCCAGTTATAGGCTAGTTTACCAATCAATTCAGCACTGTGATCTGTACCCACAAGTAAATGATCTTCAGCCAAACTGTACTTTTTCTCTACAAACAGCAGTTAGCAAAAAATCACCTTTCGAATGCGTATTGTAGCTATTCCCTCTTTACCATTATAAAACATGGTGCCAACAAAATCGTGTAATTCAGGATCGCCCTCGGGATAATCACCATCAGCCTTTGTCCATCTGTTGTTAATGTGTTATCAGTGAGTTGCTTCCTCCTTTGAAATTAGGCAATTACCTGAAGGCATTGCTAATAAAGGTCTTGCGACCAGCTTCTGTGATGGGAAATAAAGACAAAATTTCGACAACACGATCTACCATCATCATTTAGCATTTCATATGGTTGATTGTTACAAGCAAATGCCTATGGTACCTAAAGATGTCTCGTCCACAGGTAAATGAGCCAACTTGTAAGTGTCCAGCATGTAGTTGGCTAAGTCAGATCCAGAGCCATTCTGTTTGTGTTGTAATAAGAGAATGGCACCATCGTGCAATAAGCGGATAGTATCAGCATACTTTTGTTGCTTGTTGTATCTGCCAAGTTTTTCATTATTAGAACGCGCTACCTTTTCATTGAAATGCCAAATATACCTGCGAGCTACCGTACGATACATTTGCTGGGCTTCGTAATAGTTGCCAGCATTTACTGAATCTCTCAATTTCTGGAGCGTCTTTTCCAAGCCTTTGCTAGACATTTTGTTGTTTGAATTATACAGAAAGAAAAGGTATCGAATTCAAAACGCATGTTGGTGTGCGAGTCCATCACAGTGAGCGGATGAACAAAATCAGGGCTCATCCAATAATGTCTATTAAATCCAGAATAAAAGGGGGAGAAGCACACCGTCAAACGAGGCATTTAACACTTTGTAATGTGTCTTTGTTGTAAGGTTTACATGCTTCACATGCCTGCTTATCTGCTCTACGGGCAATTACTGATAGATGCTGTCATCAAGAAAGTAAAAAATATACCTTGGATTGATATTCGAACTAAAATATCATCGGAATATAATGGACAAGCTAAAGTCTCTGTATAATTGCAAGCATGTTGAATTAATTCCCTTTGCCCACATCTTTCTCTCTTGTTTTAATACAAAAACTATGCCTACGCTACTGACCAGAACATTTGCCCTTCTCAACAACATCAAGCCACCTACTGTAGATCAGCCCAATGTCCTCACAGTGATCAACGCAGACACAGAACAGCCTATCCAGCTCGTCAATCACAACACAAGACCAGATGTATCTATATGGAAAGCAGCAGAGCTTGGAGATCTAGCAGCCTTGCAGTACTATGTACATCACACCAACAGCGTCGATCCTACAACGCTATTGAATACCCGAGATCCCGATACTGATTGCACCTTACTCCATTTGGTGGTGTCAAATAACCACCAACACATGCTACCCCTCATCAAATTACTGCTAGAACATGGTGCTGATGCTTCGGCACGCAATGTATACAACGTGCAAGCGATCCATATGGTATCTTTGCATTGCCCTGATCCATTGGCTTCCATTGAGCTCTTGTTGGATCACAAAGCGAGTCCCAATGCCAGAGATGGAGATGGCTGGACGCCCTTACACTACGCTGCAAGGTTCTGTCATCCTCCTGATCCTGTCATTCAACTGCTAATTGAAAGAGGAGCCGATGTCAATCTGACAGACGCAGGACACAAGTCTCCCTTGTTTGGTTTGCTCGCAAACGGTGACTTGGCAAGCTCTTTGGATTTTTTGGTGCACACTGCCAAGGCGGATGTAAGCATTCGAGGCGATTTTCTTGATCAAGCAAGTCGCAAGACTCGACCTGGCACAATCGTGTTGCAAGCTGCCAAATATGGGCGTTTGGAATGCCTGTCGTTGCTAATCAAATCAACTGTAGCCATGCAGCAATTACGCCGTGTGGTCAACCAAGATGAACTTGCGTATGCTCAATCACTCGCCAAAGAACAGCAATCTCGCAGCAAGAGTACAGACACTAAATGGGAGTTAATTTTACAGCTGTTGCAAGAGTTGGAAGACACACTTGAGAAAGACCCATTATCACTATTGAGCTCCAGAAACAAGCTACTGCAAGGCACTGCAACTAACGGACTGCCCAGCACATCCAAAGGCACTCGCCCTATTCAGCGACGACACACATTAATGGCCATGCTGGGCTCCATGCGTCGAAAAAAGATGATTGCGCAACCACAGCCTGTTGAAAGAAAGACATCAGCTACTATTAAACTGTTCAGAAAGATGAGTCGCATGATGAAAAGAACCAAGAGTGATAGCCATACTATGATGCAGCAGCCCCATCAACAAGAAATGAATACTAATATTGCTACTAATAACATTCGTTCGGATGGAATGACAAGATAGAACTGTTTTTTTCTCATATATACGACTTATTTATTAATAAACTTTCACTATACATACAACATCTTCAAGGCTGAAACGTTGTTGCATTGGACAGTCGACAGGCCAACAAATGACCACTCTCGGAAAGGCCCAGTTCCCAGTTGGAGTCCTCAGATGTTGTGTCGCGGGTCCACTTGAGTTGTTGCAGTTCAACTTGTAACTCAATTGGGCTCTTGTCCTGCTCGTACATCTCTTCAGCAACTGACCACAAGTGAGCGCATATTTTTGCTGGTCGAACAAAGGGCCTGGAGCCGTCCAGAAGCGAAAGTATCTCTCTAAAGTCAGAAGGGCCATAGGCAGATTCAAGTGAATAGATGCCAGTGAATTGAAAAATGAGGTTGTGCGAGCTTGGGTCTACACAAACAGGTGAGAAGCGTATGACAGACGAATCGTAACCAGTTTACCTTTGCGCCATCTCACATTGAATCCATTGTTCACTATACATTCATCCGTGATTTCATAATAAGCAATTTCCTTGTTGCCATGAAGGTCGTCATCTACCACAACCTCTTTGGTATCTAGACCTATAAGGGCAGCACATAATGAATCATCTGGTCTATGGCACATGTGAGTGTCTACACTTGATATCATTGTCCAGCAACATACCGAAACTGAATTTGCACGGGTCTATTCAGCTTTCTTTTGCAAATCACCTTGTGATTCTTCAAGAGCTGATTGTAGATGGCATTGACACCTAAAGCCCTCAACTTGACCACGCCTAATTCAAAGATACCTCCGCGCGAGTAGAATGATAATCCGTTGTTTGTTGGAGTGGTCGAGACCAATTTTGCATTTGTATCAATATCCGGTATTTCATAATGCGTAGCCAGGTAATCTGCTATACTTAATAGATGTGTCCTGTCATGCTGTTTCTTGAAGTTTGGGTAGTTGGCTTTGATCTCGCCGATATCGCATTGAATGACAAGTGACTGATTGAGTGTCGATGTAATTGAGGTAGATGGAGAAACTACAGTAGTCGACGCTGGTGTATTCTTAATATGAGCCTTTCGTTTAAATGCTTCCGGTAAACCAAGCTGACGGATGGCTTTGTTTTGAGTAGGCTGTGCAGTTGAAGGAATCAATCGCTGTTGTTTGGTTGTAGTGGATCGACCGGTAGAAGGCGATACGAATGTAGGTTTTGGCGTCAAGCGTTCCACTGATACAGTTTTAGCTGGTGTTTGAGCAGATGATGGTAATGTGGTGGACAGCCTTGATGATGGTGCAATGAGATCCACCACAATGTCTGATGGTTCCAAAGAACCCGGAGCATCCCTTTGTCTAGTAATGTATGGTAAGGATATACGCTTATTAGCACAATTTGCAGAGAGATCGTCGCCTGAAGATACTGCTCGCTTTTGTGGAGTGACAAAGGTGGGAATAGTCTTAGGAACAGGCGCAGCTCTGGATGGCCGCGCTGATGAACTTCTAGCAGAGGTGCTGGTATCATTTTCTGGTATTGATTGCATAAGTTTGGGTGTATTGTCTGCTGCTTTGTATGGGGCAGTCGTGGGTTCTATCACTGAAGATGCAGTATCAATTTGCCAGTTAGCCATTGGTGTTGTATTGATTAATGTTGGCTTGTCGGATTTAGCCTTCTCGGTACTGAGAGTCACTTCTAGTGGTTCTTCTTCTTCATCGTCGCTCAGCATGGAGAAACTCCAGCTGTGGTCTATATTTGCTGATGGTGATGCCGAGAGACGTTGTGGTGGATCAGCCACTTGAATTGGAGGTGGAGGGACATTAGTCTCTGTTATTGACGATGGCTGTGTTACAAACAGAGGTTCTTCTTGCTGATCCAAATCTATTGTATCTGACTTGTCGTTTCTGCTAAATATGAGACGAGTAGAATCTATTCTTGCTCTTCATACTTACATTTCGCTCTGAGCCTGTTTGTTAAAAAGTGCATCTAGAGTGCTAGGATAAGCCTTGTTGAGCATACGTTTGACAAGGCCGCAAATCAACTGTTTGTTGTGGAAATAGATGGTGGTCTTGTTTGGCTCAATGTTCACTGCAAATATACGATTAATTGATATCTCGACGACGTTGTACTTTAACTTACCATCGTATTCCTCTGGTTGAAGTTGAATATCCATATAAATAAATGGGTTCTTTTTGTTGTTTTCACTTAAACCAATAGCCTCTCTGTATTTATCCCTGATCCATGTTACCAACTCCTTCAGCTCTGATTTCACATAGTTGATGGGCCTCTGATTAACATAAATAAACACACGGTCCCCTCCCTTATAGATGACAGAAGGATCTGTCAAAGTAATCTTCTCTGAGTACTTTACACATGGACGCCATTTCACTTCAATTACCTGAGTTTTGTTTGGGCACAATCATATCTATAGTTAATGCGGGATGGCTCTCATCGGTCTCAACAAATCTCTCTACCATGTTTGCCAATTGGGATCCGTATATGACGGCAAGTGTTTGATTGATGGATGCGGTGACAGGCTTTACCCAAGAGTTGTTTGCATTATTGGAGCTGTATCCTACTGTATCTCTGGCTAGATGCAATGAGAACCTGACACTGGGGTGCGCTAAGGCGTATTTGATAAGTAGCTCTTGACACTTTTTGTTGTTTTGAGTGGTATTCTTCTGGGCCAGCTGTCTTCTTACAGGGAGATTGTAGAATGGCTTGTACAATGTCACCACAGTGCCTGATTTTGATATTGTATTTATGGGCTTTTCACTAATAATAGGCGTTGAGTGATTCAAGAGCAGTAGTGATCTCTGTCAATGCATACTTTAAAATGGCCCCTTCTTTATCCAAGTCGTATTGCTTTCCAATAGCCTCTGTTTTTGTCTTGGTCATGATGATGACATGGTCAGCTACTGCGCATATGGAGTTGAGCGCTTCTCCTCTGAAACCATAACTTGTAAGTGTTTCTAGATCATCAAATGTAGCTAGTTTTGAGGTGTAATGCCGTTTGGCTACATAAAGTCTGTCGTTTTCTTCAATACCGTCACCATCATCCTTGACCTTTACGATACCATGTTAAGAGAATACTATCTATTGTCTTTATACTAGCTTACCTGAATAGATTCTAAACCATTGTTTATGAATACAAGCTCGATGGAAGTTGCATGAGCGTCTAGTGAGTTTCTTTAATGTCTTGGTCAGCCACTTATATCATAAAAGCGAGACTCAGGGAGAATTTACTCGATCAGTTCTTTCACAATAGCTTCTATATCTACAATGACTTGGCCAGAATGCAGATGTTGAATAGTATTCTTATCGAGTACTTTGATGGCCATTACAACAGATAGAGTAAAGGAAACAAATGGGTTAAAAACATCACCTCCTATGTCATTTTAGCATGCTGCATTAGAAATTTGAAACGCCACAACGACCATGGCTTAGTAGAGATTAGCAATGAGGATGCCTTAATCAAGGATAGCTTTGGCTAAGATATCCGTATAGAAGCGTAGCGTAATTCATATTAACTTTCTATACAATTGTACTAGAGCATGATATTAAATGTTCAGCTATCATGTGGGAGTTCTCCATGGCTCACATGTAGCTGCATTAATGAAAACAATTTACATACAGGCAGAAAAATATACTTGAATTACCTCTATCCAAAAATATGCTAAACACAGCTAAATTCGGATACACTCGAGCCGCGTTTTCTTGTGTTAGAAGCCGTTTCAAGCCGCCAGAAGAGCATCAAACAATTGCTCTCATCTAACGCATGCTTTCTAACACCTTTGCTCAACTTTTTGAAGACTTAAAAAACATGGCCAAAAATCCACCAAAAAGCATGAGGTACCCCTCATGGTTTTTATCGAAAATCGAACGATCGCGTTTTTCACCTTGATAATGAAGAATTTTGCTATGGTATATATTGAATCAAAATGTTTCTATCGATCCAACGCAACTTCTGAAATCCCTTTTGTGAGACCTTGATATATAAAACCTCGATATTTTGGCGATAAACGTCATTTCATAATTTTCAACATTACTCAATGGCCTTGTTCAAAACACCCCGCTTTACGGGTACCATTGTATGCGCCTTGAAAAGTACTCCAAGGAAGCTTAAGGAAGTATTTTTTTTTTTTTTTTTTGTAGGGGAGTCGAGCTCCAGGTTTTATTTAAAGTCCTTTAAATGTCATGCTGAGGGATAGAAAAGACTGTTGGTGGACCCAATGTCTGCAAAGAAGGGGAATAAGATATTTTTTGAACTAAGTTGGGAAAGAAATCTACTACTAATAAGGTGCGACTCCTAGAGCCAGTACAGTCTTGCGGAAAATCGTCAAAATATAGATCATGGATAAGAGCACAAAACACCAAACGAGGACATCAGTACTACGTCAAAAAAATCAAACAACTTGCGTTCACCAGGATTTGAACCGGGATCCTCCCGTTGGCATACGGGAGTTCTACCACTTCGCCCTACCACCAGGGACACTTAAGGAAGTATGGGGTGATTATTACATTTTGTATAGTCGGTTCTCTCAAGTTAGTTCAATCAAGTCGTTTTTGAACAGAATCTATCCAATCTTGAACTGAAAAAAATCGGAGATTGAAAAGAACTGTCAGGGAAATCACTCATGCCTCTTCAAGTTATGAAAGTATGGATGTTTACGAAGCTAGTTAAAAGTGAATTGGGTATGAAAAAGCTACTATGATATAGACTGACTTTATTTTTTTTTGTTTATTTTGTAAAGCTTGCATCTGGTAACGCCAGGTAGCTTAGTTTACTATCGTCAAAATTTCTGCAGGCTGAAATTCTTTAGCCAGGATTTAAAAGTGCATTGCGATTGTAAACTCGTATACATCTCACTGCTCTCTAAACTAGGGCGAGCTTTTTGCAAAAGTCGTATGATTTTATCAGGGCATGCATATGGAATAGATTACTCAAGCAACAGCTCATGTGTAACGACAGTGTTCATATTGTAGGAACATGTTGTTAACCGATTAACCATTACGGGCTGCTTGTTTTATAGAAGACGCTTTTGTTTTTGGAGAACTGGCACTTTATCCATTTTGATGCTGCAATGCGCACGATGAAATAAATTTTCCATCGGGAATCACGTTGCTATTTTTATAATCACAACAGCAAATCAAGATTTCCCAACATCTACGGATTCCTCATAAACGGAACAAGCTCCATCAACTACAAATGCACTAATCCAATCTTCGATTTATGGCGGTATCAGTAGATCAAAATGAAAAAAGATCGATCGAATATCATATTGTTGATTGTCATTTAAAAACAAGCATTTCAATTGTTTTGGGGCATATGATTGTTTGTGGGTGTTTCTTCTGTTAGCCTATAAATATTGCATACATGTGCCACCCACCTCAAATAGCAAGGATTCGTCTGAACATCAAGGGGCCGCTTGAAGAACAAGACTTTTATAAAATAAGAATACAAATCGTCTAAATCTTCGCTGAAATATTGCTTGTCGTAGATGTACCTTGTTTCAAGCTAAGCTTGGAAAGGTTTTATTACACGTCTCATAAAGACCACTGGATACATACCCCTTTCGATTGCCCCCCTCGTTTGTCTAGTCAACAATAGCAACAAGTTATTTGTTTGCATGCAAATAGCAATTGGAAAAGCATTCCAACGGATTGAATTTAGTGACGCACAGGACAAACAAACACTGTTGCACACCAAGCGATTGGTATAGACCCTCAGCCAGCTCTGTGCAACGTGCAAATGTCACATTTAAGGTTTGATCGAGTTATCGCTACTGAACATCAAATTCAGGGCAAACGTAAACAAATATGTAGAACATGTATGATTAGTTCATTCAATCTCTCACTAACTCTTTGACTCAGGAGCACTTTACTGTTGAAGTAGATCTCTTTTATTAGAGAATGCGTTTTATTTTATCATACATTGTTACATATAAAATACATGAGGGGATATAATGCGTGTCTGCGTGTGTGATTATAGTATAAAGGACCAGAAATTTCAGAAAAAGACTTCATAGGTGAAGAAATAAATTAAACATGGAGATGCTCAAGGAGTGTATAAATCTTGGGAACGGGCAGTCTTGGTAGAGAGGGAGACGACAAGATAGGACAAAGGGGGGGCATATAGTATAGATGGTTATGATTGTTATTACTGCTGCTGCTGCTGCTGCAATCTGTCAAACCACTGGTAAATGACCATGATTCTTTCTCGTAATGTGGATAAGCTTAGCAAATGGATCTTTTCTTCTTGGCTAAAAGGCAGTACATTTGCGGTCCACCAGATGATGGATTCTCGATCTGCTTGCTGTAGACACCAATCATACTGCATGATCCAAACATGGTTTGATGTAGCGGACAGATACTGAACGAGTCTTGGATGTATTTCTTGGTTGAATAGAACGTTGATATTAGGAATAATGGTGGTGATAGGCGGGGGTGCTTTCTTGATTGATTTAAAATAGAATTGAGACGTATTGATAGTAGCTGGCAATAGTGGCGGTGGAGAAGGTGGTCTAGAGCCACCAAAGTTCATGGTGGATGCCCATGTTCGTCTGTTCACCAAGCCAGGTATGTTATTGAAGGCGGGGACGTTGTTGGGTGCAGAGCTCGATAACCGCATCGAACATGGTCTTGGTCTAGTTGCTTGCTTGTTATTGTTTGTTGTAACAGTGCTACTACTACTCATTGTAATGGGTCGTGACACTGTGACAATGGATGTCGTGGCATGATTCATAGCGGGCATAGTCCATCGTTTACTTTGAACATCGAAATCAAGATCGAAATAGTCATCGCCGCTGCAACCATTATCATGAGCAGCATCACTATCAACGTCATTGGTGTTGCAATCATCGAAGCGAGTTACATCACCAATGTAACGCCCCTCCTCATCAATAGAAAGGTTGTTGATTTTGAGTCGAAAGAGGCCGATTGCTTCTACCACGGAATGTCGAATATCAGGTGAATGTTCAACATGGTTTACTTGTAACATGATGCCATAATCGTAGAGATTGTCTGAGTTGCTATCTTTGGTGAATACACATATAGCGTAATGCTTTTGATGCGGCCTCGTAGTCATTTCTTGTAGCAGCGAATTTCTGTCTTCTGTAACATGAATGAGGCAATGTTGACTTGGAAATGCAACAGCTGAAGACACTTGGATAATAGGAGTGTGCTGTTGAGAATCTAATGAAGACAGTGTGTAGTTGTTGTCGCTGGCATCGTGATAGATGTGATCGACCCAGCCGCATACAATCTGATTGACTTTTCCAATGCGAGATAGCTCGTGTCTACAGAATGGACATGATCTTGTCTTCAGGTCAGTCATGGTGCGAATTAGGCATTCTCTACAGAAAGTGTGCCCGCATTGTGTTGTGATTGGGTCTGATAGAGGCGATAAACAAATAGAACAATCCAGCAACTGTTTGATGGCATCCGTGTCGTGCAGGTTGTTTAGTATATTTTCCAATAGAATGTTGGGTCGATAATCATTGTCATGCTTTCGTAGACAACTAAATGATATACATTGATATGGTTCTGTAGAAGGCAAACAGTCGTAGCATGATGTAAATCCACATGAGAGTGTTGTTGGATGTTTGAATGGCTGTCGGCACTTCTGACAATGTGTTAATGCATTTAGTTGATGCGATGGTTCTTTGGATGAGAATGGAGCGGGTACATGAGACGACTTGTATTCTTTAATGACAGCTCTACCGATATTCATGTGGTTGCCATGGTGATGGTTGTTGTTGTCAACTAGAGCATCTATTGTTAATTGATAATTTAAATCGAACGACAATGGTCCCTACCAGTAAAACCACTATGAACGGGATTATCCCAGGACAGTTTCTCGACTTGCATAAATAATATACAGAAATCAAGCAATAACAGAAGAAGAAAAAAAAAAAAAAAAAAAAAAAAAGAGAAGGTGTTTGTGTGGTCAACAGGGAAAAAAGTAATCTTTATATAATATAATTTAGTCGAATCACACACATCCTCCTACCAAGACGATCCTCGATCGATTTGTGGATATTCGTTTTTAATAGAAAAAAAAAAAAAAAAGTTTTTTCTGATCAAATCAAATTGGAAAAAGGTCAATGCATTGACACCATGATTTTATTTATTTATTTATTTATTTACAATTTATTCATTTGCCCATTGACTCCAAGTAATCCAAAAGGCCCATCACCTGCACTTCTTTGCCTGTATACACTGGGTGCAATTGTCGCTCAATATAGCTGGTGAACGTGCTGTGCGGAGTACCCAAAAAGGTATGTCCATGCGCGGAGATCATGGCATCCACCATAGGAATCAAATAGGATTCCAGTTTGACCCTTTCCTCCACCACCTGCAACTTCTTGATGTCTTCTAGTTCATTGACAAAGTCCGATAGTATAAAGGTACAAGGGAAAACTCGAAATAGTTTGCTTAACAAAGGGTGATTCCGTGGGTCCGGCGCATCAGTGGCAAGGTAAACTACAGTGTTTCGGAATCTATGCGTGGTGTGGTCTCCAGGTTGACACTTGAGGCGAGAAGCAATGCTGGGATTCACATCAAATACACTGTCAGTGGTATGATGCACCTCAATAGGCTTCGTGTAGTTCGTTTCATCGACCGGATGGAAGCTTCGAAGTTTGATTTCGTATTCTGTCGATTCAGTGCGATCCAAGTCATGCTGCTCAACACCACCTTCGTATTCTGCCACTTGATCCACAGTCAAATCCGTAAACTTGTCCACCAATTCATGATAAATGTCGTCTACGAGAATGGATGCTCTCAATTTGAAGATGCCATCACCAACACGGACATGCAATCCCACAAAGTTGTTGGCTCCACCCAGTTGTTGCACAATTCTCTCTGCTGCACCAGATAAAACAGGATTACGAAATATCATGCTGGAACGGATGTTGCGCAAGAGTTCTGCATGTTGCTCAGTCTCTGCCAGGATGCGGTAAGAACCAAACATGGATCCAAAATGCAACACGCGATGGTCAATGTTTTCAAGTGTCACCAAATCAATACGGTAATTGAATCGATCTAGGGGTAAATCAGTTGATCTGTCATCGTGGATCTGATACTCGTAGGGCGACATGTCCTTGAAAAAGTAGACATCATCTTCTGTCAGCTTGAATGTCTTGTACAGCCACTGGTAATCCAATCCAGGTCGGAACACCACAGGCACCTGGTTTTCAATAGACTCCATGTCGTAAAAGAAAGACCATGGTATATTCGTCCAGCGAAAGTTGTTGAGACATTCACTTGGTAAGGGCAATCCAGCTGCGTCCAATTCCACGCAGTGATCAAGGCCGTTTTTAGTCTGGAACAAGAGCCTTTCATGTAGCTTTTCGTATCGCAGCCACGGCATTGCTGGGCTTGCTAAATACACTGGTGGCACCAATAATGTTCTATTTAAATAGGATGCTAATAATAACGCATTTTCGAGCTCGATTCTCTGGTTATGGAATCCAGAATGAGGCAAATAGGATAAAAACTTTTCGTTTTTGGTAGGTTTATGTAACGAAAAAGGCTCTGGAAACTCGACTGGGATAGATTCTTTCTGTCTTGTTGGCGGTTTCTTGGCGAGGTATTTGGTGTTGTATTGAAAATAGACGACGCAGGTGATGAAGAAGAGCAAAACTAGACTTATCACGGTAGTGTCTTTTCTTTTCATACTTTTTTTTTTTTTTTTTTAGCAAGGAAAGGAGGAGAGAGAGAAAAGAGAAAACAACAAACGGAAAAGGATCATCCAAACTAAAATATTAGATGATGTGGTACAAATGAAAGCGATCGTCTTTTATTAACTCATTAACGAATGTAGATTGGAATATACTATCCAAATAAAGACAAAACTTGTTTCTTTATAGATCCTGATATCAATCAAATTTGATGTAGCCCCCAGAGAAACACAGAGGTTTCTCTCTGATTTCGAGACAACGGTTTGAAGATCATCTTTCCATCTGGAGGGGCAGGTTTGGTGGCCGTAATAAACCTATATTTAGCTTCATTACTGGGCATGATATGCACTAGAAAATTCTCTCTCCTTTTCAATATTCTTTTTGTCACGAATGAGCTTTGGAAGGGATGGATGCCAACGAACCTACATACACATCTTGACATGGTAGGCTATAGAACATGCGAGCGCACACACACACACACACCTGAAATTAAAAAGGATCCAAAGGAATATTGTCAACGTGTTGGTTTACTGTTTTTATTCATAGAAAGCCCTGTTAAATTGTGTACGAAGCAGGGAAAAAGAAGTGTAAATGTTGAACAACAAAGCAAGCCAAGAAATCTTTTACTAAGCAGTCATTTTTATACCACACTGCTACTTGCTCATTGCACACACACACACACACACACACACACGCACACAACCCAAACAAAGAGGTTCCTTTTTGTACATGTAGCTTTCACACACTTTTTTTTATCATTTTCCTTTTTTTTTTTTCTCTCTATTTTTCATTTCTTCTTACCATGACCAACCCATTTGAACAGCATGCAATGGCATCCCACAACAGCAAATATCCAGGCACAGTTGTTAGGAAACCGCCTGTCACATCAACTTCCAGCAGCAATGATTTATCCATAGAGGATACATGCAAACAGTTGAAGCGAAAGATTAAAGAAATCACAGAGGTAACAGCAGGCAATCTATCATAAGAGGCTTGATTTACCAACGGTAAAAAAAAAAAAAAAAAAAAAAAAAACTAGCTAAATGTTGCAATGAGCAGAGATTACTTTCATGCAAAAAGAAAGATCCGTACATTAACATTTGAGCGAAAGTAAATTTCTCAACTATGCATAATTTCTATGAATGCTACTGACACTGATACTCATCTAGTCTGTTGCTCGATAATATTGGCCGTTTACAATCTTTATCCAACTTAACAGACGATAGTGATAGTGATAACTACAGTGATTTATTAGACTCTGATGAAGAGCATGAGATGGCTGGTAATGATGAAATCAAATCAGGTAACTTCATATAATAACATTCCGCAGTAGCAACACCATCCCCTAGGTCCAATGCAATGACAACAAAACCACCGTCTTTGTCGAGAGCAACAAAGAAATTCACAAACAAACCTACATTATCGACACCTCACCGTCAAACAATCAATAATGCAGCCACAACTGATCCAAATACTAATATGCCTACCATCAGCATGTCTCCTCATCCTCACCCTCCTCCTCACAAAAGATCCAAGCTCACTCCTCAGTCTGTGAAAACGCGTAGGGTGCAACCCATTGAAAGAGACGCTCAAGGTCAACCTAAATTACCACAGCAAATTGGCGTCTTGACAGTGCATCATTTAGGCACCATTGTTACCAATAGGCCCAACTATCACAACGAGAGATACATCTTTCCAGTGGGGTATTCCGTAAGCAGGTTTGTATCATGACAGTGGAGATCATATGAAAAGGAGAGAGTGTACTCAAACGCAATCGCAGAACGTATCCTAGTATGGTGGATCCCAATAGCAACACAGTGATTACATCGTCCATCATTGACGGAGGAGATTACCCTCGATTTCAAGTGGTAGCTGCTGACATGCCACATGAACCTATTGTGGCCAATTCAGCAACAGGGGCATGGACTGTGGTTGTTCGTCGCTCTAACGAGATTCGTCGTCGAGAACATTCTAATTCTGCATCAGGACCCGATTATTATGGCTTTAAGCATCCCACAATAGCAAAATTAATTCAAGATTTGCCTGGTGCAAAAGATCTGAGGCAGTATGTTTGGCAAACGTTTGAGGAAATGGAACCAAGAGCTGCAAAAGGCGTAATGGCAGCCGCAGAGAAAAAGAGAGGCAATTTGGAGCAGATGGGAAGTGCTAATAGAAAGGTGCCATCAGCATCTTCTTTATCGGCTTCGTCGTCATCGGCTACACATTCACTGCATCACTGCAATCATCAACAACGGAATCCTAGTGCTACCTTCATTCATCATCATGAAGAAGAAGGTCAGGATCAAGATGGCGACATGGAAGAAGAAGAAGAGGAAGTGGATGAGTTGGCTGCCAGTGATAAAGAGGAGGAAGATGTCTAATGATATACATATCCATCATCAAAGAAACTTTCTGTACATACTATATATATTTCAAAGAATATGGATAACGCCTCATCTCCCGCTCCACACAATCGCTACTATATAACATACTATTTATATATCTACTATGCATTACCTATCGTATATTCTCATTAAATATACATCTATTTCTTTACCTCATGTCTGGAAGTTAGAATCCTGACCATTTACTCTCGCATGTTTCTGTAAATTGATCCAGAATATCGTAACTGAGTAAACAGATGCTGCGAATGATCGAAAGTCTTGTAATATAGCAGTCGATCAGCTTATGAACTGTAATAGTATAAATTGATAATTGATAAGAATCAATCTAAAGAGTTCGCTAAACAATTATTACCGTCAAAGCTGATAGTAAGAAAAGGTGTCAAAGCGTTCCTGAGCGTTGATTCAAATTTCTACTTCTTCATAGCTATTTCGCATGAATGCATCGATTCATATCACTAGATAACCACCTACATCAATATCAAGTTTGATATTTTATTTGAAAATAACCGAGAAATATATAGCCTGCCTATTACTGCGGAAAGAAGAGTGTATCTGTGATGGTTTTTACGTTATTTTCTCATTTCTGCACTTTTGTGAAACAAATGTTGAGAAACGCTGCTCTCATCTGTGTGTACAAAACACATCTGTTGGATGTTCATGAGCTGTGAGAGCACGGAATTGCAAGCAGATTGGCTCTCTACCATGAAAATGGACAAATCTTGAAATTGTAACAACAATCATCTCTCCATCAAAGCTTCAGGATACTTTAAGCCATTCTTATATTAAACTACGGATTGAGCGAGTGCAGGTCATGGTATAACTGCATGTGTGTATAGTCTCTCACAATACTAGTGCTTTTGCAACGACTAAATAGTTTGCTCAAGGGGCTTCTTGAAGATTGAAATAACTTGTGTTCAAAGCAATTCAACAATTGTATACTATTACATAAACTCTTAATCCCTTTATCGAATAAATGTGTGTATGTCTAATAGCATGTGCTGTGAAGTTTGTGCAAGACAGTGTATGTACAATGACTAAATGGCTATCTCTTCCGAGAATAGAGTTTTATATTGCCTGTGATGACAGCAGCGCTCTGGCTAGCATTAACGCAATCGATGCTTTGCTTTGCTTCGCTTCGGTGAGAACCAAACTGCGCAGCGGCAGCTCGCGCTACTGATTGCCCTTGCGTACCCTATCGAAATACTGCTACTTTCATGTTGACACTCTACTTACACATGACAACCCTTCATATTATCTGTAAATCTAATTCTTATATGATTTTCCACTTCTATATACACATAACTACTTTATATACGGGCAAACAGAATACTTAATGTCACTGATACAGCAAAATCTGAGTATCTTTGAGCCGCGTTTTCTCGCGTTCCAGGCCGTTTTAGATTGTCAAAATAGCACCAAACAATTGCTCTCATCTGGCAGTTACTTTTTGACACCTTTGCTCAACTTTTTAGGGACAAAAAAAACATGGACAGAAATCGACCAAAAAGTATGAGGTACCCCTCATGGTTTTTATCGAAAATCAAACGATCGCATTTTTTATCTTGAAAATAAAGAATTTTACTATGGTATACGAGCCTTTCAGCACTTCGGGTGGTTTCCTGACCTACGCTTCGCTTCGGTGGAAACCAACCTACGTTCAAACGGCTCGCGCTGCCGCGGGCCTTTGGCTAATATCCCAAAATTAATATAGCTAAAATGTTAGAAGAGGAACCCTGATTGTTGATTGATATATAATCACTAATCATATGAGTGTTTATGCTTCGGATGGTTCTCACCGAAGCGTAGCGAAGGTAGAGAACCAACCTGCGCAGCGGCAGCTCGTGCTACTGATTGCTCTTGCGTATTTTATCAAAATACTGCTACTTTCATTTTGACCCTCCACTTACACATAGTAACCCTTCATATTATCTGTGGATCTGATTCTTATGTGATGTTCTACATCCATATACACGTAGCTACTTCATATACGGGCAAGCAGCATACTGGTATTCCCACTTTTTAGTCCTTAGTGTCCCTAATACAGCAAAGTATGAGTGCATTTGAGCTGAATTTTCTTGCGTTCAAGGCCGTTTTAGATCGTCAGAATAGCCCCAAATGGTTGCTTTCATCTGGCAGTTCCTTTCTGACACTTTTGCTCGACTTTTTGGGGACCAAAAAAACATGGTCAAAAATCGACCAAAAAGCATGAGGTATCCCTCATGGTTTTCATCGAAAATCAAACGATCGCATTTTTCATCTTGAAAATGAAGACTTTTACTATAGTATATCTTGAATCAAAATGTTTCTATCAATCCAAAGCAACCTCTGAAATTATCTTTGTGGGACTTTGATATGTAAAATTTCGACATTTTGGCCATAAATCTCTTTTCATATTTTTACAAATCATTCAATAAGTGATTTCAAAACATCTATTTTACTTAGTACCATTGGAAGCGCCTTGAAAAGTACTCCAGGAAAGCTTAAGGAAGCATGGGGTGATTATCATACTTCACTTAGTCGAATCTGCAAAAATAGCTCGATCGAGTCCAGGATCATCAAAATTTGTCCAATCTGGAACAGACTATGATTCTGGGTTTGAATTAATTTTGGCTGGTAGGGCCAGCTGGAAAACTCATGCCCTTTTCATAAGGCAATACAGTAGTAAATGCCCTCGAAGCGTATAGAAAGTAGGTGGAAGGTCATAGCACTATCGTTTATAATGATATTTTATTGCCTTCTATATCGTTCATAATGATATTTTATTGCATTCTATATTTAATAACGTTAGTCTGGACATTGACAATGCATGGGTTGCATAAAATGTCTGCAGTAAGTAATGAAATCTCTGAGGCTCTGAGACGTCGCTCAAATAAAACATTGACAGCATTGAGCAGAGGAAAGAGGGTAGAAATAACAGTGGTTTTTGTTGATTGATTGTAAAATCATTATTCTCATATGAGCCAGGACAGATAGATGCCTTGAAACTCAGGTTCCATATTAGGATTGTAAAGTGCAAAAGTACTGAACATTTATTATGTTATGATATGAGCCAGGACAGATAGATGCCTTGAAACTCAGGTTCCATATTAGGATTGTAAAGTGCAAAAGTACTGAACATTTATTATGTTATGATATGAGCCAGGACAGATAGATGCCTTGAAACTCAGGTTCCATATTAGGATTGTAAAGTGCAAAAGTACTGAACATTTATTATGTTATGATATGAGCCAGGTCTGATAGATGCCTTGAAACTCAGGTTCCATATTAGGATTGTAAAGTGCAAAAGGACTGAACATTTATTATGTTATGATGATATGAGCCAGGTCTAATAGATGCCTTGAAACTCAGGTTCCATATTAGGATTGTAAAGTGCAAAAGGACTGAACATTTATTATGTTATGATATGAGCCAGGACAGATAGATGCCTTGAAACTCAGGTTCCATATTAGGATTGTAAAGTGCAAAAGTACTGAACATTTATTATGTTATGATATGAGCCAGGTCTGATAGATGCCTTGAAACTCAGGTTCCATATTAGGATTGTAAAGTGCAAAAGGACTGAACATTTATTATGTTATGATGATATGAGCCAGGTCTAATAGATGCCTTGAAACTCAGGTTCCATATTAGGATTGTAAAGTGCAAAAGGACTGAACATTTATTATGTTATGATATGAGCCAGGTCTGATAGATGCCTTGAAACTCAGGTTCCATATTAGGATTGTAAAGTGCAAAAGTACTGAACATTTATTATGTTATGATATGAGCCAGGACAGATAGATGCCTTGAAACTCAGGTTCCATATTAGGATTGTAAAGTGCAAAAGTACTGAACATTTATTATGTTATGATATGAGCCAGGACAGATAGATGCCTTGAAACTCAGGTTCCATATTAGGATTGTAAAGTGCAAAAGTACTGAACATTTATTATGTTATGATATGAGCCAGGACAGATAGATGCCTTGAAACTCAGGTTCCATATTAGGATTGTAAAGTGCAAAAGTACTGAACATTTATTATGTTATGATATTGAATCAAAATGTTTCTATCGATCCAAAGCAACCTCTGAAACCACTTTTATCAGGTCTTCATATGCAGAATTTCGACATTTTGGCTAAAAACCTTATTTCATATTTTGTCAAGTTGCTCAATAAGTTCATTCAAAACATCTATATTACTTGGTACCATTGGATGCGCCTTGAAAAGCACTCTAAGAAAGCTTAAAGAAGCCTTTTTTTTTTTTTTTTTTTGTAGGGGAGACGAGCTCCAGTTTTTATTTAAAGTCCTTTAAATGTCGTGCTGAGGGATAGAAAAGACTGGATATAGAGACAAAGGATCGGATGGAAAATGGATTGGAAAAAAAAAGGTGACAGAAGAATGAACGAAAAGGTAAAACTGAATACTTACGAATCAAGATTTAACTCGGCATCCAAACGAGCAAGAGAGCGAGCAAGGCGAAGTTGAACGGTGTCAGCGATGAACGGGGTTCGGTCGAAGATCCAGCGCCAATGCGCTTGCCAAATTGTCAAAAGAGTAGTTGCGAATAGTTGAGGAATAGAGAGTTCATTGAACGAGAGAGAGGGATCACGATCAAGAAGAGGGGAAGAACAGAGTAAAGTTTGTTGTAAGAAATGAATCAGATCAACATCAGAGATTGATGGAGAAGCAGAAAGATAGGTGTGATACATGTATCGCCAGACCAGCAACTTGGGAGGACAGGAGAACAGAGCATGTGTGATATCCTCCGTGGGAGAGGCAGGGCAGATTGTACAGAGGTGAGAAGGGTGATTGTCAGGAACGCGTAGATGTAGGAGGGCTCTGGTGGGGATTTTTTCATATATAGCCCGATACCAGACCGTGCGAGCAGCAAGGGGAATTGCGAGTGTCCAGAATGAGCGCCATTGAGGAGGTTGGAGAGGAGAAAGAGAGGAGGAGGAAGAGGGTAGGTTTTTGCGTAGTTTTTTAAAAAAGCGGATGCTGTTGAGTGGCAACCGACTACGCGAAGGCGAGGAAGAAGGAGGGACGAAAATGCTACGGCAAAACGCCCGCAGAGAGGGAGGTTGATGAGGGTCTAGGGCTGGACGGGGAGCAATGAAGCATTGCTGTGCAAAGAAAGGTTGGAATATCAGTTGACGAGAATTGATGAAATCAGCAACACGTTGGGAGACAATAGGATGGCTAGCAAATTGGAAGGAAGAACGAACACGAAGCACCTGATGATCAGCATCTAACCGGAAAATGTCGCTTACAAGAAGCTTCTTTGCAACGTTGGAGCCGTCTAAGAGAAGATTCGGTGGTATAAAGCTAGATGAATAAAGAGTATTAGTAGTAGGTAGTGAATGTAAAAGAATATCATAGAGAGGAAGTGAGTAGCAAGTAACAGCATCAACGTATAAGTTATGACGCTCTGTTATCTGGAAAAGTGACAAACAGGACTGAAGATTAGTAATTGGATTGAGATAGCTGTGTCGACGGGATGGGCTTTGAGGAAACCACGACCGATGGCGAGCATAAGGCAACAAGAGATAGTAGAAGAAATGAGGGAAGACGGTGGAGGAGTAGCACCAAGAAAGAGTATAAGTTAAGACAGGAAGCGAAGGAGTGTTGTACTTGGAGAAGGCCGGAGAGTCAAGATATTGAAGCAATAGAGGGCACACCCAGTACCATTGCAGAGCTTGTTGTTGAGAGAGAGGATCTAGGAGCCCCAAACCACCGGCAGAGCGAGGTAAAGAGAGAGTAGCAAAAGAGAGTCTAGGGAATATACGAAAATTAATGAAGGCGGTACCCAGGCTTCGTAAAGAGAGCAACTGGGCCTTGGTAAATGTTGTGAGTCGTAAAACATGCCATAATTTGGAATAAATGAGTGAATTGAGAATGGTAGCACGGCCACGGATGGAGATGTTGCGTTGTGAGTGAAGAGCAATGGCATTTCGGATGGAATCATATAGTTTTTGAAAGGCAACATTGCGTTGAGTAATGCTGGAACAGATGGGATAACCGAGATAAATGAGGGGAGTGGCGGATGTTCGATCATGCCAGGCGTTTATGCCATAGGTTGCGAGTAAGGCTTGCCAAGTTGCTGAAGGATTGCCTGAGAGAGATGTAGCTACTGTCTTGTGATAGTTCAATAATGCGTTAGAAGCTTTCATATACATGGTGATGGCGGTCTGCAAGCGATGAAAGTCCTGCGTATCATGGAGATATACCAATGTATCATCCGCATATGCCAGGATTTTTACCGCCAGAGGTGTAGAGGCGGGAGAATCTGGAGGAGCAGGAGTATTATCAGGACTGACAGCAAGGCCGTCATTGTCCGGAAACAACTGTTGCATAGGAACTGAAATATCGTCAGATGTAGTTTGATTAGTAGGAGGTGGAGCTTCAGTATGCAGGTTGAAACCAGTAAACTGAGGATCTTGTTGAATGGAACGAAGGAAAGGATCAAAAGCAATGTTGAAAAGGAGGGGTGAGATGGGATCCCCTTGGCGGATACCACGTTGTTGGGTGATGGACGAGGTGGATATGTGGCCGTTAATGTTGATGTGAATTTGCGTAGAGAAGAGAAGGGTTATTAATGAATGGATAATGTTAGTAGGAAGGTTAAATCGTTGCATCACCGCCCGAAGGTAGTCAGGGTGGATGCGATCATACGCTTTCTCTTGATCCAAGAGCAGCGCAATACTGTCCGATGAAGTTTCAGCAGCAATGAGACGAGTGTTGTTGAGAATCATACCATTATCACCGATAAAACGACCAGGCATGAATCCAGACTGTTGGGGGCATATGATCTTGTTCATGAAGGGCATAAGGCGTTGATTAAGCAATCGTGTGAAGATCTTGGCATCACAGCAAATCAAAGAAAGAGGACGCCAATTCTTGAGATTGGAGAGGTCGCCAGACTTGGGTAGTAAACAAATGCAAGTTTGCAACCAGCTGGAAGGGAAGATACCCAGGTTGAGGGCATCATTAAACACCTTAACAGCAAGTTGGGCGGCCTTCTGGTGGTTGAGGATAATGTTGAGAATGGGGTAAGGTAAACCGTCGATACCAGGACTGGATTGGAACTTGGTACGATGAGTACCAGTCAATAAGTCGGCAATGGTGAAAGGTTGCTGAAGGGTATCATGATCGGCATCCGCGATGGTGTCAGAATCCGGAATAGTGGCACACAGAGAGTCGATACTTGCTGAATCCACGGCATCACAGGAGTATAATGTTGCATAGAAACTAGAGGCTGCTGTCTGCATTGAAGAGGGGTCAGTGCATAATGAGTTAGTAACTGGATTGATGAGGCTAGTAATCGCCTTTTTGACCGCACGAGTGGCAATGGTACGTTTGAGGTATCCGGCAGAGGTTTCTCCCTGCTCGCGCCAATGTTTACCAGCACGTAATCGTAAGTTGGAAGCTATCTCCCGTTGAAGAATACCTATCTGCTTTTCAATAGTCGAGAGTAGAGGAGCGCGGATCCGAGGATCTGTATATTGTCGACAGATGCGATTGCGTTTACGTTGGAGTCGTTTGGATTGACGTTCCAAGGCACTACTTCTATCACGACTGACTCGACGAACAATTTCTTGCACCAAGGTTTTGAGAGCATCCCAATTGTCCTGTGGGGAAGCAGGAGGAATAGAGGCGGCGATATCGATAGAGGCAGAGATCTCCAAGGTATTGAAAAAGTCATCAAGAGCTGTAAACAGTTGGTCAATGAAATATGGGTTAGTCGAAAGATTTGGGTTAGCACGCCAAAGGCCTGATCCCTGACGATCCGAAGAAAAGACAAATCGAGCCCGTAGTAGAGCATGATCCGTCCAGGAGGAGTCAAGGAACATAATTTCAGACGAATGTAGATGTTGAAATAGGAAATTAGAAGCATAAAGGTAATCGATAGTAGATTGACCAGTTCGTCTACGATAGGTTGGTAATAGAGGACCCTCTTCCCTGGAATGAGTGCATTCAAAGAGGTGGGTATTGATGAGTCGGTGGAAGTGTCTGTGAATAGCAGCTCCTGAAGTAATATTGTCAGTATCAAGTTCCGGATCATCACTATCGTCGGTCAGATAGGAGGTAGCATGGTAGTTGAAATCGCCCATCAGAAGCATGGGAGAAAGATTGGAAGGATCAGAATCGAGCAAGGTAGATAAAGAGGATAGGGATTCCCGAGAGGTTGAAGAAGGAATGTCGAAAAGGGGCAACGTTAGTAGGTCTCTGAAGAACCGAACTCGGGGTGAGTACTGGGCTGGGGCATAAACATTAAGGAGCGTAAAGGGTGGAAACAACGCATTGGCATGGACAACCTTACAGGCAATGATGCGTTGATCTAGATCTAAGTCTAACGAATGTAATTGAATTAAAGGATTGAATGAAATAATACCACAATGTTGGGTCCATAAGGTGTCATGAGCTTGAAATTGTAAATTGAGTTGATCTTGAACTGCCTCGACTGCATGTGATTCTTGAACACAGAGGATGTCCAAATGTAAGGAACGGAGGTATCGGATGAAGTCAGAGCTAATCTCGGGCGTAGATGCTTTGACGAGATTGCGGCAGTTCAAGGAAGCTATATTTAGATTGTGATTGTGCATAAAAGAATTAGTATTCGTGTCATAATGGGGCATATTATTCGCATAGTTGGGTGATTCAAAGGTAGTAGTACTCATTAGACCAAGGGGGCTGAGACGCCGTCAGCTGGGCTAATAGAGGAAGAGGAGGCAGCAGGTTGGGAAGTAGAATCTTGAGAAGCAGGAGCATCATCCATGTTAACATCATCCGTTGAAGAAGATGAGGCAGTCTTGGATGCCTTGGCAGGGTAGATCTCACGGTAAAATGTTTGATACATAGTCTCGGATATCCATTTTCGTTTGAAGCAGAAGTCGCGAGCGACGGCCAATTTGATGTTGGGAGTGTTGAGGCGTTTAATCATGCGGAGCAAACGTTCTTGGTGAATGCGTGCCGCCTCAGACTTCAAAAAGAGCGGATCAGCATGGTTGGCGTACTTGGGATCCCTAAGGATGGTGGGTGCACAAGGGTCGAAGTCGGTAATCCGTTGAGAGTCAGGGAGTTGAGCCATTGCTTCCACGACAGTGGAGGCATAGTCGTTGTGAACTAAGAAACTAATGATGTTATTAGTAGGGTAATGGATATCAAGAATGCGGCTTTGAGATAAACCAAGCACCTGGAAACCCGCACGGACTTTCGAGATGGCTTCACGTCCACGAGAGGTGAAGTACAGGAATTGGTAACCGTGGGTCGTCGAGGGAAGAGAGTAGAACCGGCTAACCTGCTCTAAAGTCAATGGCCGTTTGGCTTTGGCCTTGGGAGCTGGTTTGGTGGATGTGGAAGCCTTGGGCTTGGATTCCTTGCGTTTAGTAACGGCTGGAGCTGATTCATCCGCTGGTGGTTTGGCAGCCATATCTGCCCATAGAGAGGCTGAGGTACCCTCGGAGCTCCTTTCGAGCACCGGCGTAGTAGCAGATGGAGGTGTCGAGGTTTGATTGGCAGCCGACTTGAGTTGCGCAATCTCGTGGTGGGCTTTATCCAAAGCCAGTTGGAGTTCCTGGTTCTTTTTGATCAATTCTTGAGTCTGTTTGATCAAAGCTTGGTTCTGTTCCAGTTGTGAGTCGTGAGTCTGCAAGTGAGTGGTGACAGAGGCAAGACGTGAATAGATCTCCTGAATCCAAGTGGGCATCAGGGGAGACTGATGGATTTCGTCTGGTTTAGGTGGGTGCATGCCTTCAAGGAAGGCAGGTGGGTTGATCGCATTAGTGGAAGGCTCAACGACCATATTGATAGTGGAGCTGGTGGGAGCGGTTGTAGGTGTAGGAGCAACGGGTGTTGCAATATTCATAGTGTCCATAAAGTCAGTAGTAGGTGCTTGGCTTCGCGGTGATCTACGTAAAGGTACCGTGGTAGCTTTGATAGTGGAGTGGCGCCGCTTCCTAGAAGCAACGGGAAGTTTAGAGGTTCGGTTGCCGGTTGTCGTCTGTTTGGCTAAAGTAAGACGGGAGTTGGAGGTAACGGTAGGTGTCGGCTGGCTTGACAGACCTGACTGGCTTGTTGTAGCTGTGTTTGTTGTCGGTTTTGTTTGGATCTTTACTGCTTGATGATGTTGTTTTCGGGGTTTAAAAGGCCCTAAAAACAATTTAGACGAAAGAAAGGTGCTTAAAGAAGCCTAGGATGATCATCATGTTTTACTTAGTCGAACTTGCTAAGATAGTTCAATCGAGTCCAAAACCATTAAGTTTTGGCCAATCTGGAACAGAATATGAGTCTGGGTTTGAATCAATTTTGGCTGGTGGGGCCAGCTGGCAAACTCAATGCCCTTTTAACCTGAAGGCAATACAGTAATAGAAGCCTTTGAAGCATATGGAAAGTAGGTGGCAAGTCATAAAATTAGCGTTCATCGCTATTTTTGCATTCTGTATTTAATAACGTTAGTCTGGACATTGACGATTCATGGGCTGCATAACATGTCTGCAGTAAGTAGGGAAATCTCTGAGGCTTGGGGCAGTCGTTTTGAGAAAACGTCGAAAGCATTGAGCAGAGGAAAGACGGTAAAAATAAAAGTGGTTTTTGTTAATTGATTGTAAAGTCAGTAAACATATATGAGTCAGGCCTGGCAAATGCCTGGCAAATGCCTGGCAACTTGGTTTCCATATGAGGGTTGTGAAAGCGTCTATGGACTATGTTACGATTACATCTCGCATTTACCGTTCCTTGAACTCTTGATTTAAACTATTAAAAAAATACAATCTTAGCATATACTGTACACATCGCTCACGCCACCAAAGAATATACTACAATGGATTTACCCCTGATTATGTAGATAGTGATCCCGCTGATCAGCCTCTGATAAACAATGTCCAATAACAATGTGTCAATAGCTCAACTGAAACAGGTAATACGCCAACTCAGGCTAATCCAAAAGTAACTTTTGGCGATGGTCGTGTATGTGATTTGTGTACGAATGAGCCATATGTCTCCTGAAATAGTCGGCAGCATAGGATTAATGATGGCTAGAGGATGTTGCTCGTCAACTTCACAACTCAAAGATGTGATGTCCGATGAACGCATCGCTTGTTCTAATCAAGTCAGTTTTTTTCCTATCAAACTGGTCTCAAAACCGAGTAGAGCAGCGTCTTTGGTCAAAAACAAGTAGAAATGGGTAAAATCGCATGGAAATCAAGAATGGAAATCGTATTTATATGGAACAAAAGAACACGCACACGCACACAACCTGAAATGTAAGACCACAGACCCTCCCTCCGCCAATATCTCAGCTTATTTAACGAAGCAATGAAGAAGAAAGATTGTTCCAGATAAAAGGTGTATATAGATAATAGTATTTTGATCATACACTGCGATAAGATGTGAAAGCAATTCTCAATTCAAATCAGCATACCCTGCTCAATGAAATAGATGCACCTAATGCGCATTTTAAGCTGTGAGATACAGGATAATAAAGAAGTTCAAAGACGTTTTTTTCATTTAATCCAGAACAGGGTTTCAATGAGCCATGTGGGCGTGATGAAATAGTCATTTAGTATACCCGCTGATGAAAGGAAAGCTCTAACATTTAGCGGAAAATCAATAAAATCGTCATACAACATTATCAGCATCGCAATGTCATAGAGAAAGCACATTTAGACTACATCTATAGTATACAAATGCTACACAATGATGGTTTGGATTGGCGAGATTACGTAAATTCTATACCAAAAAGACAAAAATTAGGTTGACATGGACCCCAAATGCTAAAATTGGAGCAACAGCATATAGTAGATGTTATCGATTTACAATGTATGAATGATCTATAATGGAAATCTTATCTCGCCGCACATCTGTCAATCAGTTTTCACATTTCAAGTGAGATAAAATGTTGCTCAAGCGGTAGCGTGGCATATTGAGTGAACATGAGCAACCCAGAATACATCCACATGTCAAAATCAAATTTGACATTTCACATTGCATCGCTCTGATCGAGCATGCATGATGACACACCATGGATATCCTTTGATCAAGATTAGAACCATAGTCACACAATCATCCCACCTTGAAGAAGCAGCTTCTTTAAGGCTATAGAGAGATTTCATATTGATAAAAAAAAAAAAAAAAAAAAAAACTAGGGAAAAACCCATGTGGACTTTTGATTATGAGTCTAAAAAAAAGTTTCAGTTTACATATAAAATCAATGATTTAATCTTTGGGTTCTACTCACATTTTCCCAGTTAAATCTCTTTTTTTTATTTCTCTCTCTCTCTTTTCTCTTCTTTTTCAACATTTAGGGAAAATACAATGCTTTCTCAAGGACTTTCATACGTTATTCTTAACGCCTCCAATTGCGAGGATTTTGAGAAAACACTCAGATTCTATCAAGCTCTTGGCTTCAAGAATGTCGCCGACAAGTCTCACGAATCTCAATCTGAAGAAAGAACCGCTTGGTTGAAATTAAACTCTGCCGATGAATGTGCTTCTGAAATCACCATTAAGCTCGTCTTGAACGCTTCTGCCATTGCTCAACGCAAGCCTGCCTCCGATGTCGATTGGGCTTTGGAAGAAAATGCCACTGTTTTGGCTGTAAAAGATTTAAATGTAAGTCTTGATCGATGTTATCGATAAGAAACACAAATTTTTTTTTTTCATTGACAGCATGATTAAAATCAAAAACTTCTCTTTCTTTATATAGGCTGTCAAGTCAAAGTTGGCTGAGTTGAATGTTACAGTACAAGATCATAGCACTGATGACAATGCCAGACTCTACGTTTTGGATCCTCTCAACAACATCACTGTCTTCTCCAACAAGCCTGCTACCAATTGCTGTCCCAAGGCCACTAGTGCTGCTGCCGCTGTTGAGACTGCTGCCTCTGGAAGCAAGCGTCAAAAGATTGCTGTTCTCACATCTGGTGGTGATGCTCCCGGTATGAACGCTGTTGTTCGTGCTACCGTCCGCTATGGTATTGCCAAGGGCTGCGATATTTTTGCTGTCTATGAGGGTTATCAAGGTATGTTTGTGATGCTGGTTTGTTGTGTTGACTTTTCCCGGGCAATCCCGTGAAATCTGAACATTAACACACACATTATGCGTGTTTTTCGTGTGTCTTGCTGGGTTTCTGACAATCAAATAAATGTAGGTCTTATTGACGGTGGTGAGCGTTTAAGAAAGATGGAATGGAAGGATGTTCGCGGATGGTTGGCCGTCGTAAGTTGTTGAATCTAGTGTATCAGTGTAGCCATGTCTAATGACTCGATGTTCTTTTGCATAGGGCGGTACTACTATTGGTACAGCACGTTGTATGGGTTTCAAGACCCGTGAAGGCCGTCTTCAAGCTGCTGAAAACCTCGTCAAGAATGGTATTGATGCCTTGATTGTATGCGGTGGTGATGGTTCCTTGACTGGCGCTGATCTCTTCCGTGCTGACTGGCCTGGATTGGTCGATGAGCTCAAAAACACCAACCGTATCACTCAAGAACAAGCTGATGCTTTCCACGTTCTGACCATTGTCGGTCTTGTTGGCTCTATTGATAACGACATGTCTTCTACTGATATCACCATTGGTGCTGTTACCTCTCTTCACCGTATCTGTGAGGCTGTTGACTCTGTCTCTACCACTGCTTTGTCTCACTCTCGTGCTTTTGTTATTGAAGTCATGGGTCGTCATTGTGGTTGGTTGGCTCTCATGGCTGGTATTGCCACTGGTGCTGATTTCGTCTTCATCCCTGAGAAGCCTCCTCAAGAAGACGACTGGGAATCTGTGATGTGTTCTGTCGTTGAAAGACATCGTCATTTGGGTAAGAGAAAGACTGTTGTCATTGTTGCTGAAGGTGCTATCGACAAGAACTTGAACCCCATCAAGGCTGATCATCTCAAGGACATCTTGACCAACCGTCTTGGTCTTGATACCCGTGTCACTATCTTGGGTCATACTCAACGAGGTGGTGCCCCTGCCTACTTTGATCGTCTTTTGGCTACTACTCAATCCATCGAAGCCGTTAATGCCGTTCTCGAATCTACCCCTGAGACTCCTTCTCCCATGATCGGTATGACTGATAACAAGGTCACTCGTTTCCCTCTCATGAAGGCTGTTGCTCTCACTCACGAAGTTGCTGAAGCCATCGGTCAAAAGAACTTTGCTCGTGCCATGGAGCTCCGTGATCCTCAATTTGCCGAAGAATACGATGCCTACAATGCCACTACCATCTTGGATGATAGCTCTATCGTCTTGCCTGAACATCAACAGCTCCGTGTCGGTATTGTCCACGTTGGTGCTCCCGCTGGTGGTATGAACGCTGCTACTCGTACTGCTGTTCGCTATTGTCTTAACCGTGGCCATACTCCCATTGCTGTCAGCAATGGTTTCGCTGGTCTCGCTCGTGGCGTTACCACCGAAATGACTTGGATGTCTGTCGATGGTTGGACCGCTCTTGGTGGTTCTGAATTGGGTACTAACCGTGCTGTTCCTGGCGAAGATGTCGATATGGGTTTGGTTGCCTACCAAATGCAAAAGCAAAATATTCAAGCTCTTTTGGTTGTTGGTGGTTTTGAAGCTTACGTTGCCATTGAAAAGCTCGGAGAAGCTCGTGAAAAGTATCCTTCCCTCCGTGTCCCCATTACCTTGATTCCTGCTACCATCTCTAACAATGTTCCTGGTACTGATTACTCTCTCGGTTCTGATACTTCTCTCAACGCCATTGTCAACTCTTGTGATGCCATTGTTCAATCTGCTCAATCTTCTCGTCGTCGTGTCTTTGTTGTTGAAGTCATGGGTGGTCGCTCTGGTTATTTGGCTGTTGAAGGTGGCCTTGCTGTGGGTGCTATGACCGTTTACATTCCTGAAGAAGGTATCAATCTTTCTCGTCTCCAATCTGATGTTGAGCATTTAAGAAACATGTACTCTCACGATGATCCTGACAAGAGTGAAGGCAGAATCATTTTGCGTACTGAAGATGTTTCCAAGACTTACACTACTGATGTCATTTCCAACATTCTCAAGGAAGAAGGTGATGAAATGTTTGATTCTCGCACTGCTGTCTTGGGTCACATTCAACAAGGTATTACCCCCTCTCCTCTCGATCGTATTCGCGCTACTCGTCTTGCCATGCGCGCCATCATATTTATGGAAGAACACACTACTGAAGCCCTTTGCAAGGCCCATGAAACTGGTTCTCCTGTTCCTATCGAGCTCACCAACTCCAAGGAATCCGTTGCCGTTGCTGGTATCTCTGGCCACTCTGTCATCTTTGAGCCTGTCACTGCTCTCATGGCCGTTACTGACATGAAGAACCGTAAGCCTCGCACTGCTTGGTGGAATGAGCACAGACCTATCATTGATCTCTTGGCTGGCCGTGGTCATTTCAACTAAATCCTTTAATAATCCCCGTTTGTGTACAAAAATTCATCCTTTTTTCCCTTTATTAACTTTCATATACTAGAAGCATTATAAAAGCATAGATATTTTCACCTTTTTTATATTTTAATCATTCAATAAATATCAGGCATTTCGTAAATTTCATAGCAGCATTAGGAGAATGTGGGCAGCACACTGTCCTTAATGGTTTTGGTTTGCGAAGCATTGAGGTATTTCTTTGATTCGGAATACCTGTCTTCTGCTACCTTGATCTTGTTTTCCATCGTTTTATAGTATCTTTAATTAATATGAGTCTTCAATGCCAGAGTCAACTGATTTGATAAGGTTGGTGTCGTCGTCAAATTCCATTTCAAACTTAAAGTCTGCTAGATTTACGCTGAGATGCTTCAAAGACCCACATTCAATATAGATGGTAGGTTTCTTTGACAATTTGGCCTCCTCTCTAGTCACTCGTTGTAGCGGTTTACGTGGTAATGCAAGAAAAATTTGTTCAGGGCATTTGGTTGTAGATATTCTGAAGAGTAAGCTTGTGTAGTCCTTGTTTTCCAGATGATCTTTGCCTGATTCATTTTTATGCAATGCCAAAGAAGCGAGTTGAATGGAGGGCATGAGCATTTCATCTACAAAAGTACAATTTACGAGTTTCAGATGTCTTAAATACGGGGCATACATGTTCAACAGTGTCATGAAATCGTGTTTGAAGTTGGTATCAACAATTTCTAATCTATATAACACTGTAAAGATTGGCTGCTGTGGATACTCGTCTAAAACCATGTCTTCGGTGGTGATTGTACAGGACTCGACATTCAGATTGCACTTCATCGAGGCGCAAACTGGCTCCAGATGTTCGCTTTCAGACAAATTCATGTCAAACTTCTTGATGAGTCGTGATGAAAACAAAGACATTACTGAAATACTATTTTCTGCTATGCTGTCATCGCAAGGAAGCTGGAACGAGAACGCTGTGGAATCATCTTGTCTCTTTTTTATCGCACTCATCAAACAGATGTAAGGGTCGCCGTGGTGAATTTCGTAATTCACTTTGCACTCGATGTATACGCTTTTTGTTGTTAGCATGTCGATAAAATTTTTCAAGACATCCAAGTCGTAGAACCTCCATTTTTCTAGAACAAATGTTTCCAAGTGCGTAAATTTTGGCAGTATGATATGTTGGCGGTTGTATTCATCGCTACAAACTGTCAATCGTGTCACATTTGGGTATTTGTATGCTAGATAATCCATCCAGTCTGGGCCAAAGCCATACGGTTGACTCTCTTCATCCTCTAGCGAGTCGTCTTGAAAATCGATCTCCAGTGACTTTACTGTTCCGACCCTCTGAATACTGTTTGTCAACCATTGCTCCAATTCTGCTTTGCCTATGTGATTATACTCGGGATGTTGTTGTATAAACAATCGCAAATCTTGAATTTGATTACAATTCCTTAACAGACGATCCAAATCACGTAAGCTTCCAAAGAAAAACTGGTCATCTATCGACAATTGTTGTAAATGTTTAAATTGATGCAGAGAGTCGCCAAGAAGGGTATGGCAATTGGAGCTAGTGAAAAGAGTGAATTTAAACGCTGTTGACTGTAGTGTTTCTTTGAAGCAAAGTAAAGACTTTAATGATGGTATGCTGAATCCATTGATACACGGTAGCTGTTTAAGTTTGAGAGCTGAGCATTCAGGCTTTGAAAGAACTTCGCCCACCAACGACTCATCCCATGATTTTCCATCAATAATCTTCAGATTGGGAGTGGACCGCAAGATTTTGTAAAGTGAAAGCTTCTTCTTCACGTCCCCACAGAAGCAGATCTTTTGGACCAAGCGCCCTAGCTCGGGTCTCATGGCTAGCTGCTCACTTAGCTCTGCAACTTGGGTGCCGTGCATACCAGTCAGATCCACCACTTTGTACATGACCTTTTCAACAAAGGGTCTCCAAGATCTACATACCAAGCGGCATTGTGCTAGCTGCTTTCCATCGCTTAGTTGATCAAAAATATTCAGCCATAGTTCGGCTGGGAGAGATTTTGTAGGCGCAGACATCTTTAGAAAGAGTAGGAGAGGATAATGAGTTGATCGAGGATATAAAAAAAAGACTGAACCAATCAAACAATGGCAGAGAATTGCAGTAGACTGCTCATGAATGTTGGTTGGTGGTCGCGTTTGGATGAGTAATATGCACTGAAAAAAACCTACCAGTTCTAAAAATGCGTAAAATAAAACAAAAAGGCATTTGGTCTAGGGTATATTACTATTTGGTTTTTTTGTTAGATGATAAAAGCATCAAATACCTCCATCATTTATATGGCGTTGATTTTGACAGCAACCAGCCAAAACCAGTTTAAACTCAAGTCTTTATACTGCTCAAGATTGGACAGATTTTTATGCTTTTCGACTTGCTAGAATTATTTTGTTATGTTCGATTATGTAAATCGTATTCATCGTTCCATACTTCCTTAAGCTTTCTTGAAGCACTTTTTAGGGCGCATCCAATGGTACCAAGTAAGATGGGTGTTTTGAATAAACTTATTGAGCAAATTGTGAAAATATGTAACAAGGTTTTGGCCCAAAATGTCGAGATTTTACATCTAAAATCCTCGCAAACAAAGTTTCAGGGGTTGCTTTGAGTCGCGAGAAAAATTTTGATTCATTATATGCTGTAGTAGAAGTCTTCATTTTCAAGGTCAAAAACACGATCGTTTGATTTTCGATGAAAACCATGAGGTACCCCTCATGCTTTTTGGTCGAATTTTGGCCATTTTTTTTTGTTCCCCAAAAAGTTGAGCAACGGTATCAAGGAGTAACTGCTAGATGAGAGCAATTGTTTGGCGCTATTCTGGAGGTCTAAAACGGCCTCCAACACGAGAAAACGCAGATGAAATGCATTCAAATTTCGTTGTATTTTGTATACCTGTGAATATTTGGAGGCTATGCTAGTACGCTATCTGTCCCCAAACAAATTGTTTCTATTGATTAGGACGCGGAGCATTGCGAGAGAGTTAGATTCATAGCTATATATCGTTCCTGATGGCTGTGTAAAAGACTCATGTTGACTATTCTCAAATTGATAAATTCAGTCAAGCTAATCAGCATTATTCAAGAAGGCAATGCTATCCTATTCGGTTGTTGCCTTCTTAAGTACATCAATTATATAATTAGGCAATAGCTGCCATAAGTATACTAGCTTCTACATTTTATTTGTCGGCTGAAGAGTCTTTCAAAATTTGTGCCTGATCTACTGGAAGAACAAACTGCTTCTCTACCCGGTTCCTGAATCACGAGCTTTACGATAAAAGTAATAAAATAGGCCCTCAGGAAGCGCAACGTTCCACGTAAATGATATAACCATGTTGGTGCCAGTTAGAAGCACCTCTCAATCGTCCCCATCTTGAAATTAAGGTTTATGACAAAAGTGCCGTGGATGACGATGAGATGGCCTGGAGTTCCGCCGAGTAGTGCAAAGATTGCATCTTGGTATAGTCTGGCAGGGACATCTCACACAATAAAGTACTAACGAAAATAATCGCAAGCAATTTACCATTACAGATGCTATTGGCTTACCTGACCTAGAGATGGAAAAGAAGGTTCAAATCCCTCTATTCAACTGAATATAATAGCAGCTTTGTGTACCGAAATCAGCGGGTAACCCATTGTCATCCTTCACTTAAATATGTCGTTCCTGAGATCAAGTATTTTAGATCAACCTGCGATACAGCTTCTTATATACTCGTATGTTTTGATGAATTAATTGCTGATTTGGGTAGTATCTTACCTCGTCTCATATTATTACATTGAAGCATGAATTTTGATTTGATTTCTGTACTCACGGACAGTATCACAAACAGGCATTCAAAAAGCGTTAGTCAAATCTTAAATCTTTTACAAGGACAGTGTATTACCATATACCCAACTACCTTCGTATATAATAAACACTATCAAATGCCCCTGATCGGTGGTAAATGCTAGTCCTGTATACAGTTTTACTAACAGGTCATGTCAAATGTTGAAGCTTTGCTGCGATATTCTGCTGCCTGAAAGGCATACACTGCATTATTTAGCTGATCCGATCATGCATGCATTCCACCTCTGTAGTATATGAGGAAAAGGCTTATTTTATCCCTATTAGAGTGGATTCATTAGGCGATGAAATCATAAATGAGAGAAAACGAGGTTCATACAGTTATCCCCATTGTGAAGATAGCATTTCATTATTTTTAGTTGTTTATCTGTGTCACTTGTCGCGCGACTAAATGATTCCAAAGGTTACAAACACCTTTCACTGCTTTGAAACTCATTGAATTCAATTACAAATTCACATCTTACTTCTTGTTGCATTGCTTTAAAGACGATCTGCATATTATTGAGCGCTGCTTATTGATTTGATTATGTGATAATGCTTTATGCAGCAAAAGATTTGTCTGATCAGATCCGCTGAAAACTGACTAATGTATGTCCTAGATGTTTTAATAAGAGATTGATTAAGCAACACATATACACTCACACAGGTAAAAATAGAAGCAGTGTCTTTTTTATCGGTGCACTAGTGTGTATTCTGTAGAGATTGGAGATGGGGCCCATCCCAAAACCCAAAACGATGGATTCTAGTCCTTTCTATCAGGCATTTCCAAATCGCATTTGGTTACTGCGATTCATATTATGTCCACGTTGAGACATGTAGGACCTGTAATCATTATCATCAAAATTGTACCTCGTTTTTGTAATTAAACAGAGCACTGAAGGCGGTGAATTTATATTAGCTTTTTTTTTCTTTTTTGATGGCTATCATATCTAACTATAACAAGTATAGAGTTCATGATGAACACCACACATTTACATGTCTGATCTCTCATTGCATATCACACTCAAACAAGATGAAAATGGGGTTGTTACTTGGACCACGATACAATTCATTAGAAATATGGATTTTTAATATTAAATGCATCCGTGTCATGTTCATGAAATATGTCTATAAATGCTTTGTGCGATGGTTGCATTTCATATAAATTACTTTTGAGTTCCAAATGAACAAGCATTTGGGTTTCAGAGTTCATTCCCAAATTACGCTGCTTTAACCAATCATAGCAGTAAAGAACAATAGATCTACAGTGTTTGACTGGGTAGATTTTACCACTCTCTTGATTTTTCTCTGAGATGTAAAACCAGGAAACCCCAATTAAACACAACAAGTCAGGTACACAAGACTATTAAGGTTGAATGTCTCAACTCAGCGTAAAAAAAAAAACTTAGTGTGTGTAATTGTCCATAAAGGCATCTGAATGATAATCTGTCAGTTGACCTTCTCTCTTTCTTTTTCTCTCTCTTTCCCTTATTTCTCACCTAATACCAGATGAGTTCATCTCATGAAGATCTGACGACTCTAGCTAGAGTATGTGTGGACGGGGTTTGTCATTGTGATTGGCGTCTCACATTGCAAGACTGCGTCGAAAGCAAAGCAATGACCATTGTCCATGGCATCAATGTTGGACTGTCTGGCATTACAGTTATCGTTGGTACCATTCTTTTACTGCATAGAGTGGTGATCAAAGGGCATAGATTATTCGAAATCAACATTGCTAAGGGCTGTTTTCGTCCTAAACCGATTGATTGCATGTTGCTATTCATCATTATCTTCAATCTACGTAAGTCGGCACCTATCTCCACAAAAGCACAGCTATTAATGGATCATTTGGTGTAGTGCGACTGATTTCGAGCACAATACTAATTGCTGATATTTGTCCTGATATGATTTCTCGTTCATGTAAGTTGGTTCATGTCGTACACTTTCATGTGTTAATTATGTCGCATATTACAATCTCGCAGTTATGTTCGAATTTCCATGGCAATTTGGTTTTGGCGCATTTGCCTTGTACCTGATTGGTATCGCTCAAACACTTGCAGACGTAGGTCATACTCTATAATTAGCACACAAGCATATACTGACGGGTTGTCACAGAGCCATAGAGTCATTGCCAACAGCTGGCTACCTTCACCCAGACTAGTGGATTTAATTGGTGGTACAATCTTTTTGGCTCCATTTATCATCAATAATGTCATGTCCTTGGCCGCAGGAATCTTGGCCGAGAAGAACTTGCACCTCGCTCAGATCTTCACAAGATTACTGTACATCTTTTGGTTTATTCACTGCTTTAGCTTGTCTGTCGCTGTCTTCTTTTCTGGTTACAGATTGATCCGCATTTTGAGCGCTCATTTGCAAAAGTTCAAGACGACTGGTCCTCGTTATGTGTCGGTCCAAACCGGTATCTTCAAAATCAGAGCTGTGATGAGCATCATTACTGCGTGTTTGATTATGTTTGCCGTCTTCTTACTGATCTTTGGTATCTTGCGTGAGATTATCATCGTCAATATGGTGGGCTCTGTTGTTTTGGGTGCCATCTGGAACTTTTTGGGCGCCGTGGCCACCCTGGGTGTTGAGATTGCCATCATTTTCAATCCTAAAGTAGACGATGGCACATCGCTTGGATTGAAGACCTCCAGTGCTGAGAAGTCAGCTAGTCAGACTGGCCAATTTGTCACCTATACCAACTTTTCAACCCAAGAATATTCAGCAACTGGCAGCAATCACAATAACAGTGGTGCTCAAGGCACGCTCAGCCATAACGCATTCGATGAACTCAAGTTACAGCAACTGCAATACCAAAACGTTTTCCATAAGCACAACAACCATCAGCTATCCCACAATTTGCCTGATGGCAAGGGCAACAAAAATCAGCAAATGACTGATCTATCAACACCTGAAGCCAGAGAGATGAAGGTATCGCCTGCAGGCATCCCTTTGCAAGACGCTGAATACTATACTACTGAAGAAAAGCGCCCTTTTCCGTTTTCTCATCATCAAACTCACCATCTTGATGATGAACATATCATAGACGATGGTGAGACCTCCCAAATGGATCTAGTGGAATATGCTTCAAAGCACTAACTTATATCCTTGTATTATATATATATTTAATCTTCTTACTTATTATCACATCTATTAATCATATAATTTCATGCGATTCCTTCTTGTCTGGCAGACTAGACATTGATTCATCTTGATTCCCAATAAAAATTTGATGTTGAACTCTTCGTTTAGTTGCTTAGGCAATGATACAGACATGGCTTCAAGCGTGTAGCAATGCTCGCCCTAATGATTTATCTGATTTGCGGTGCAGCCAATCTCAGCATACATCCGAACTGTCATGGTGATGTTTATATTACATATACGAGTGTTTATGCTTCGGATGGCTCTCTACCTTTGCTCCGCTTCGATGAGAGTCCTCCTGCGTAGCGGCAGCTCGCGCTACCGATTACCCTTGCGTATCCTATCAAAATACTGCTACTTTCGTTCTGACCTTCCTCTTACACCTGAAACCCCTTCATAATGTCTGTTGATCTAATTCTTATGTGATGTTCCACACTTGTATACTCGGAGAGTCTTCATATACGGGCAAGTAGCATACAGGTATTATCTCTTTTTAGTCAGCAATGTGCCTAATACAGCAAAATATGGTTGTCTTTGAGCCGTGTTTTCTCGCGTTCCAGGCCGTTTTAGATCATCAAAATAGCACTAAACAATTACTCTGATCTGGCAGTTACTTCCTGACACCTTTGCTCAACTTTTTGGGGACAAAAAAAAATGGCTAAAATTCGACCAAAAAGCATGAGGGGTAACCTCATGGTTTTCATCGAAAATCAAACGATCGTGTTTTTCACCTTGAAAATGAAGACTTTTACTATGGTACATATCAAATCAAAATGTTTCTCTCGATCCAACGTAACCTCTGAAACCACTTTTATGAGGCTTTCATATGCAACATATGGCTATTTTCGCTAAAAACCTCATTTCATACTTTCACAAATTGCTCAGTAAATTTATTCAAAACATTTACTCTACTTGGCATCATTGTATGCGCCTTGAAAAGTATTCCAAGAAAGCTTAAAGAAGCTCGGTATGATTATTAGGTTCTATATAGTCGAATCTAGCAAAATGGTGCAATCAAGTCGAAATGCTCTCACAATCTGGCCAATCTGGAGTAAATAAAAAATTGGAGATTAAATTAATTTTGGCTGGTGGGGTCGGCTGGCAATACAGTAATAGATGCTTTTGGAGCGTATGGAAAGTAGGTGGTAAATCACATAGCACTGTTGTTAACCATGCTATTTTCCTTGTATTCTATATTTAACAACGCCAGTCTACTAAAATACTTGTCAGATCGACTTCTTTCTTTTTTTGAGGCTTTGAAAGTGTCTGGGGTCATAAATTTATTATGTTACGATGAGCCTTTTGACTCTTTGGGTGGTTTTCTGGCCTGCGCTTCGCTTTGGTAGAAACCAACCTACGTCCAGGCGGCTCACGCTCTCGCGGGCCTTTGTCTAATATCGCAAAGTTAATAATAGCTAAAATGATAGATGAAGCTTGATTGTTGATTGATAGTAATTTAATTATCATATATGAAACATGCCTGACAAATGCCTGGTAACGCAGTTTCCATATGAGGGTTGTAAAAGTGTCTAGGGACTGAGCATTTATTATGTTGTGATGATATATGCTTAAACAACTGCTGCGGCATGCTTTTGTTACTACGAGTCATACTTGCTCGCATTCAGTCATCTTTATTTTAAAATTGCCACTGTTCTCTGCCTTCAAACTAACCAGAATATCCCATTGGAACAGCGTGAATGTGTTTCTGAAAACAATCCAGTCAAAAGTCAGCATTATAAGAAGCCTCAAAAAAATTACGGATAGAGACACTGAAATTTTTTCTTTTTCACTCTTTCTCTAAACGAATATGGCCTTATCTACTGTCGATAATGACAGACAAAAGCAACTTGCCGACATTTTGGCATTCGTGCAAAAGAAGAAGCAAGACAGTCAACCCAATACGCCTGATGCTACTCATAGCGATAATCAAGACGCTTTAAACGACCCACATTCAGGCATCACACTCACTGAGCAACCCTCCAAGAAGAAGCAAAAGACATCACCTCCTGCTACACCTAAACCTCGCGCACCTGCAGCAACAAAACCCAAAGCAGCCTTACCTGATTTCTTCTACAATAACGACAAAACTTGCAATACCTTAGAGTTGCCCTTACAATCCAATGTTGAAATTAGACCTTACCAACGTGAAGCATTAGACGCCATTGTAGATACCACACATGCTGATCCTCAGCAACACTTTGCCCGATCTGGTATCGTTGTTTTACCTTGCGGTGCTGGTAAGACATTGACTTCCATTCTCGTCGCCAATGCCGTCCAAAAGCCAGTGCTTGTTGTGTGTTCAACCATCATCGCTGCGGAGCAGTTTTCCAAAGAATTCTTGAGATTCACAACACTCATGGCTTCCAAGACGGGTATGTTTGCCGGAGCCAAGAAATGGCCTTACAATGGTCCTGCAGGCGTTTTATTTACCACCTACACTATGCTTGTGGACAACAAGAGCAGAACAGCCGACTCCAAACGAATGAGCAGCTTTATAGACAAGACTGAATGGGGATTGATCATTCTAGATGAGGTACACTGTGTGCCTGCCAATAATTTTGCAAAGGCAATTGGCAAGATTAAGGCTAAAGTGAGACTTGGTTTGACAGCTACCATGTTGCGTGAAGACGAGAAGATTGGTGATCTAGAGACATTGGTGGGACCTACCTTATATCATGCCAAATGGAAGGAGTTGGCTGACAAGGGTTACATTGCCAAAGTGATTTGTACGCAGGTAGAGTCAGACATGAATCCTTATATTCAGCGTGCACATGATGGTGTACAAACTCAAGGTGGCCTCTTAGGTCATGGACATCACCTTAAAAGCTTGCTGGCAATCCTCAACCCTAAAAAGATGCAAATCTGTCAAAGGCTGATTCAATACCACGAAGCCAAGGGTGATAAGGTACTCGTCTACTGTGACCACATTGATGCCCTCAAACTCTATGCGGAAAAGGTAAATCGGCCTTTCATTTATGGTGGTACTCCCACTGAAGAAGCTCGTCAACTTTTGTCTCGTTTCCAAATAGATGTGCCCTCTGTTGAAAATGAAGATGAGTTGACTTGGAACCAGATTGCAACTCGCAGATCTCTCAAGGCCAAACAAATCAATACGCTGTTTCTGTCTCGTATTGGCGATACCTCCCTTGATTTGCCTGCAGCTACTGTCCTGATCCAGGTGTCCTCTCATTTCGGCTCTCGTCGTCAAGAAGCTCAGAGACTGGGCCGTGTTCTTCGTGCTAAAAAGAGAAACGAAAAAGGCTTTTATTCTCGATTCTACACATTGGTGACAAATGGTACGCATGAAGTGACCTTCTCTGAAAAGCGTCGTCAGTTCTTGGAAGAGGATTGTGGCTACGGATATCAGATCTGGAAAGTCGGTGACCAAGATGAAGGAGGCTGGGTTGTGGATGCCAACCGTGATAGCTCTAGCCCTGATGACGATGAAGTCAAGACAGACCCTCTCACATGCACCATTGGCGGCGCTGATGAGCGTCCCTTTGACTCTGAAGAAGGCGAAAAGGAGTTGGTCAGTTTCTTGTCTGAATTAAAGAATTACCAAGTAGAAGAAGAAGAGGATGACACTGCTCTTGCTGCTACGTCGGCCTCCCCATCCCCTGCTCCCGGAAGCAAGAGAAAGCGTTGATTTGTGTATACATGGAATATATAATAAAATAAAAAGATTTAGATTTATTCAAGCTATTGCGTATGCCTTAGATCCAAGAATTGACTACTGCTACAAATGGCACGGATGCTTCAATGACATCCATTACCTTGTCCAAAAATCCCTCACTCACAACCTCTTTATCTGTAAAACGTTTGATTATGGCAAAGCTTCGATAGCGCAACAACTCAATTTCAGGATGGTCCTTTGCAATGTTCTTGGGTGCCACCTTCAATTTGTCCTCATCACTCAAGATTGCAGCACCACATTTACCATCAAACACCTCCTTCAGGGCATCCGTTGACAATGCCTCTCTCAGCAAGTCGCCATGTCGGATGATGTTTGATCTCATGTTGGCTAAACGAGTGGCATCAGGCTGCCACATACCGATGCCCACCATAGATTCATTATTAGGCTTGATGGAGATGTGATATCCAGCGTCAGCAAATTTACGACCTGTTCTTGAAAAGGAGGCACTGAGGTTACGTTTGTAAGGGCTCTTGTCGTTAGAAAATCGCAAGTCTCTATTCTGCCTGTACACGGCGTGTTTAGCGTCCTCGACGCGAGTTGTAGGATCTGCTTGATGTATTTCAGTCATCAAAAGGCTGCATAAGTCTGTAAAATCCTTCTTGGCTGCGGCCCATTCTTTGGCTCTTAACCGCATGAAATCACGATCGTTGTTCACGGCCAGTTCAGCAAGGAATTCGAGTGTGTCGGGTGAGATGGCATCAGCAAAAGGGCTTCCCTTGGGTCGCGGAATCACTACTTTGGATTTCTTGATATTGTTCTCATTAAAAACTTCGTCGTCGCTATTCTCTTGTTCGTCTTCTGAGGAATCACTCTTTTGGGTATTCTTTTGGGTGGTTTTTGCTTTAGATTTGGCTGTGGTCTTTGCTTTCGCTTTAGCTCTGGGTTTCTTTTTGACCTCTTCCTCGTCTGACTCTTCATCATTGTCCTCTTCTTCCTCCTCCTCCTCCTCCCCTTCTTCTTCATGATCGTCTTCGTCCAGATCCTGCTCATCCTGGAAATCGCTTCCAGAATCACTGCCGCCTTCTGAAGACGGTGATGGTGATGGTGATGGCGATGTCACCCTTTTGGCGCGCTTACTGCTAGTCTTCTTGTTGACAGTTGGCTTTTTGCTTTTGACGGGTGTGCTGCGCACTTGATCATCACTCATAAAATCACTATCGTCGCTTTGATTGTACGAAACTGAGCAAGGGGTGTCAGAGCCGCTTCTGAGAGCACCCATACTGATTTAAGCGAATTACCTGTTTTTCGTTTGCGTGCTGATACCATAGTAAAAATGATTAAATGAATCAAAAGAAAAGAGAAAAAAGTAGATTGAAATGCACTTTGCGTGGCATGTCCAATTTTACTGTATTTAACGCCAGCGAACAGGATGTGCTGTCATGCATTTTGTAACGATAATTTCAGATGGTGAGTTAGTTTTTGCTCCTAATGTTGAGTCTATGGCATTTGGGTCGTATACTCACTCCATCATATGTGCTTGTGATAGGTCATTGGGAGCAATTCTTTCAAAATGGAACTCTTAAACAGTAGAATTCGAGCTCATGGGCTAGTTCTATGCTAAACATGGCTTCACACTGCCATTATCAGATCTTAAATATGAATCTCAACGCATTTTTGCTGTAATACAAGCAAATATTCTATCTGTTAGATCTGTTCTCTAGTCCCTTATCAGCAAACAAGCATCCAAATGTTGCAAATTCCTAAGGCTACATTTATACGTAGGTGACAACAAAGAAAATGACCTCACTTTGATTGGTTAAAGCATTTCGTTGCTGCAAGCGCAGTAATGTGATTTTAAATTCAATGATCTGCAAACGTCGCACCTGTGAACGCCGTTCTGAAACAATAGAACGTCAATAAAGCAATTAACCAATATAAAACCAATCTATTGATGTCTGGAAACCCAATTGACCTCTTTAAAGAGTAAAAATAGCTCGCGTTTCAGTGAATTTATGGACTTTTGTACGACTTTTAGCATGACGTTTTGGGGATGAGAAACAGCTTGACAACAGCTATTTTTCCTTCAGCCATACTGTCTAATCGTAGCACAAGGCTGTATGTGTTTTTGTATGATTAAATTGTACATGGATGTCTCTTTGATCCGGTCTACAAAGCAGCGCATGGCTGCATGATTTCTGACATTTCGAGTAGGTAGTAGGCTGCATTTTAATTGAGAGCAATGTCTCATGCTAAACTAATAGATGAGCAAGTGTGTCATACAAATGAGTGTTTCGAGACTATTTAGCAAGAGAATACAGGGATATGTGGGTATAGTGAATTTAAGGAGGGCATTTCTGGTACATATCATGCCCACTGACCTCGATTTTAATTTCGAGATCCATTCCCGAATCTTTGATGGCATCAACATGTATAGCCTGAAGAAACCAAGGGGCGCTTGCTTGTTCCTCTACTGCTACCAACTGCGTACAATAACGTATAAATGACAGCAGTAGCAGGATAAGCAAAAAGCATGGAAATACACGAGGAATAATCAGCTTTAAAAAGGAGTGAGGCGGAAAGACAACTCATCACATTGTGCTACCAGAAGGCAATCGTCTTTAATTATATATTCTCATGTCCTTGGTAATCCTCTGGTCCTTCTTTTCCCTTTTCTTCATCACATTTTTCTCTTTTAAAACAAGATCCCATCACATTCATTCATAGACGCTTTAAAAGGCCCTTGATTTCAAACTTCATTACTTTCCTTTAGACATAGTTGAATCAAGCACAAAAAAGAAATCACAACATCTTTGACCCCCTTTTAAATCACTCTCCTTTAGAATAGAAAAATATCCAACCCACACACACACACACACACACACACACACACACACACACACACACACACAGTTTATATCACTCAACACATTCATTTCATATCCTTCTCCTCTGTTATCACTCCTAAATCTCTTTCAAATTATTTAAACCATCTCTTAACTCGTTTGAACCCTCTTTTCTCATTTTTTATATAGATTCCTTAGAAATAGTTTATACAAAGAATGACCATCATTTCCGTCACCAATACCAACAATCGTTTACGTTCTTCTGAAAAGGTAATATATCCTTTTATATTAACAATGTTTATCTGTTTAATGTAACAACAAATACGCAGGCAATGGCCCTGATGCAAAAATCCAGATCAGAACCCAACTGTCAAAGTAAATCGAAAGCAACATTTCACCATTCCGTCTATCCCAAGCGCAAATCAACTGGCAATCTTCGTCAGTCCATCAGTCAACAGTCAGCCATTTCTCGATCCACTAGTAACAACAAAGTAATGCTCAATATATAGATGTGCCTCACACAATGTAACTAATATAAACACACCTAGATTTGGCGTCCACCTGGTCATTGTGAAATTCCTGATATTTTAGGCAATGCTTACCTCAAGCCCAGCCCTCCAGTTGCTTTTGATTTGCGCCCAACCGACATTGCTAAACAAGTTTCCAAGGTAAATATTTCATGCAAACTTTTTACATGTCAAATGTCTCTTAAGAAGGAGAGAGAGGGGGGGGGACTTTGTTGATTAAAAGCAAAGAAACACGATGTACCCCTTCTTTTTCTTTTGCTTGTGCTGTTTTGAGGGAGTTTCTAATCATTTGTTTCTTATTATTTATATTTGGTAATAGCGTCCGTGGTACCCTCCTAGTCCGCACTGCAAAATCCCCGATCTTCCACCTCTTGTTCGTAACGAAAACAAATTGGAATCAAAATTGAGAAAATTACTACCAAAAGTATCAGTTCGTTCATCTGATCCAAGCGCTCGTTATGCAAATTTCAAGGAGATTGGCACTGGTGTCAATGGCGCTGTAGTGCGTGCTACTTATCGCAGAAAACCCAATGTCCGTGTTGCAATTAAGCGTTGCAAATTAGACCCTGATCGTGAATACCGTGCTGCTATTCTCAGAGAACTCAAGATCATGGCATCTGGCCATAGCAACCTCATCAAATTGCGTGAAGTCACCTTATGCCAAGACGATATCTGGATGACTATGGATCTCATGCGATGCTCTGTGTTTGCCGTGCTTTGTCAAAGGGGTATTCCTGAGGAATACACTGTCTACATGGCCTGTGAAACATTGAAGGCATTGGTTCACTTGCACTCTCAAGGCATCTTGCATCGTGATGTTAAATGTGAGAATCTTTTATTAGGCTGGCATGGCGAGGTTAAATTAGGTAATTTACTGGTGTATAAACAAACCAATATTATATTTAGATTGCTAATTCGCTACTATAGCTGATTTCGGATTATCAGCCCGTATCAGTCGACCCAACCATGAAAGATTAGGAACAACCAAATGGTATGTGGCCCGCTACTTGTAATCATATTACGTGCGATTAACACTGTACATATAGGATGGCTCCTGAAGTAATTAGAGAGGAATACTATAATGAAAAAATTGACATGTGGTCACTTGGTATCACCGTTATTGAAATGATGGACCGTGTACCACCTCATTATGCTATCAAAGACGAAGAGGAACTGTTTGATATCATTGCAACCGAGCCCAGCCCAACATTCACATACAGTTATCCCACCATGTACATGAGAGGACTCGTTGCTTGGTTATTAGATGAAGAACCAGAGACTAGACCAACAGCTCGCGATGCGCTTTTGGAGATTGAAGCACATGTTCAATCAAATCTGTTGCCCTGTTCAAACGCTCAGGATATGACACGATTCTTGAATCAAGTCTTGCCTGAATGCTAATCTATAATCTCTCTCTCTCTCTCTCTCTCTTCCTCTATGTCTAGTATAATTATATATTATGTATTTTCTTCTTTTTTTTTCTTTTACTTTATGCATCCTCCCTCATCTCCTTCTCCTAATATCTTTATAATTTAATTATGTCTCTTCCACTCTCCCCCCCCCCTTTATTTGCCACTATTCCACTACAAAATCACATTATTTTACCCCCGAATTTATGTATGAAATTACAAGTTAGATATTAAAATTTCATTCAAACCTATCAATTCATGTGCAATTTGAGCGTAAAATTCATGAGAGTAATTGACACTCGCATTTTAGCATGTTAGCATAATGTTGTCATGCATGCATGACATCAAACACTCTTTTATTTAATGCAAGATGCCCGAGTTCTCCTTAGGATTTGCCTTGCATGAGCATGACTAAATAACAAAGAAATGAATCAGGCAGCGTTCTAATACATTGCCGGAACGTAAGATGCTTGATTGCACTGTTTCTTACCGATAGACAATCTTTCATTGAGATGTGTGATTCAACGGACCTGTATGTACTGTTTAGATGTATGATATCTATGCAACAAATTGGGTTGACGCCATTCATCATCACCTAGTGGTCTGTGGTTTTGTGCTTGTATCACAGAGACACTTGGAAATCAGTCAAAGCATCAAATCACTGTAAAATTCAAGTAATACACCATCTACTATAGTTTATGTAATGATTCAAGCTATTCCAACCATCACATACATTCATATCCATCAAATGGCCATATTCATTTATGAGAGTTATGATTTATCAGCATCTACTCGTCAGTAGATACTATCTGATGTAGGCTTTAAACCTGTGTATTATAAGAATCTGATACATCAATAAGAGGCTATATAAATTGATTCAGCATGTAAAAATAGCTATTCCTCATGTCTCCCAAAAAGCCTCTGATATATTTATACAAATATCAATCCAATACCATACCTTCTAACCCGGCCATGGAGCTATTCAAAAGGCTGCCTATACAGCAGGTGAAAGAAATGTTCGAAATGAGTCTTGGAACACCCGCTACTCTCTGTGCGAACTTCTTTCTGCCGATATCAGTTATCATCAGCTTTGTCTCCATCGTTTTTCTAATCCGTGAGCTAATTCAAGTACTGAAAGGCATGTTATTTGCAACCTGCGACCGTACAGCTACTAATAAACTTCACACCTTTAGATGTGAGAACTAACGGCAAGTACAAAATCGAAGCAATCACGAAAATTGAAGCTTTAACACCAAAACAAAATGCATCGCAGCAACGGCTTCAACAATTGGAACAGCAACTCATAGCGTTGAACCAACTGCTGCACCAACAACGCAAAGAACAAGAAGAAAAGGAGAGATGAGAAAGCAATCGATACAGCTCTTTGGAGTCAAGAGTGGACATCTTGAATAGATTCAAGAAAGACAGTATTTGCTGGATCAAATTTCCACAAGATCAAGAATCTCGCATTCGCACATTATCAGAAGCTACTGAAAAATTAAGCAACAGGATCACAAAGCTGGAAATCAAGTACACGAGTGCTATTAGAGACTTTGAAAAGAAGCTGAAAAAAATGGATCGTATTGTTGCTGGTAATTTCAGGATCGTTACAAAATACACAGAGGCAATCCGGGCATATCATGAAGAGAATGAAGAGGAATCAAAAAAGATAGCGGGCGCTTTCTTTGCATTACAAGAGCAAGTGAGTCAGGAATTGCGTGCGTGTAAGACTCAAATCAACGGCCAGGAATATAAACTTGCAAGGTTGCAATCTGCATATTCGTCTTATTCCTCAATTACCAAAAGACGGGCTGCACCACGAACCAAGGAAAAAAAAAAGGCTCTAAAGATAAGCAACCAGCCATTGCAAAGGAGACAGCATCTATGGGATCAGGGTTGATGCACTAGTCTTTATAAGCCGTGTCTGACGCTGGTATTGCAAGCACTAATCTTGTTATACATTTTATATAAAGCATTGATATACTTGATATTATGGTAGCCTTCCTATTGAGTAAATGTAATTCATCTTGTGTACAATTCTGGTTTCAATAATGTCACTAATAAGTTAAACCAAAGCCTGGTACCTGTAGTAGTTGCGAGTGTGCATCATGCTTCTTTCTGATGACTACATGGACCAAATCTATACACAAACTAATCAAATTACATGCCCAATCAGAGACAAAACAATTCATGAAATGCAACAATTCTAAATCTGAGTAATTTCGAAAACACATGCAAGAATTACTATGTTTGTATACGAGTGAATAGTGCCAACAATATGTGTTATGGCTGAATATGGGAGAGAATTCCATTTTGATGCAATAATTACATGTAATTCTATTGATCACTCATAGGCTTTGATGGTAAATATCTATTACTTGCTTGTCCCGCTGTGGAGCACATAGTGCTGGACGATAGGTTATACTCCCATTGTTGTTTGTGATACACTCGTTCTAGTAGAATCAAGTTACTTACGTTGGTATGATGATGGTAGCATTTTATCCGCTCCATGTGGCTATTGATAACCTTGTTCCCGTGTAGTACTACATGAATGCTGTCTGATCCTGTCGTCGTGATGTCAAGTTTATCTATTTTATATATTTAGAATCTAGATGTTGCTCTCGGAAGACAGGAGAAGGCTGATTGAGTACACGTTTTTCATCTGTGGTTGCTGATTTACATGTATTTTTACACATACCGTTGAGCATAATTCAGGGGTTCAATGCTGAAGCATACACGTGCTCTTCTTACTGGCTTCGCAAGTTCCCATGTACATATAAACAGATGCAATGTACATCATGTTCATTTCAAATGTTGCATTTCTTGATAACATCATGGCGCGGGTATTAAGATTAGTATGTGTATTTAGGTGTTACAACCCATAGAAAGATCGACAATTTTATTGTTATATTTAGTAACATCATCCGAAAGCGTTAAAAAAAAAAAAAAAAAAAGTAAAAAATGTGTGTGTGTTGGTATAGTATATACAGTTAATTAAATGGAATTTGAAGGAGTTCAGTTTGACCAGCCCAAGCCTGACTTGACCCAAGTGCCATCGCTTGAGAACAGTGCTAATGTGTTGGCAACCTCCAAGCATAATGGCTCCAGTTGAGGATGTTGGCATCGAGCATTCATAACAGAATCCAATGCCAAGATTAGTTTCGGGTTATCAAACGCATTTTTAACTATAATGGAGGTACATGATTCCCAATCATTTGTTGTCAGTGGTGTTGATACGACATGCATAGGTCGGCCTTGGACGACAAATGTACAAAGTGTGGATAGAAACTGAACGTTGACCCAGTTCTCCAGCTGGTCTGATCGAATGACTTTTTGGATTGCCAATGCAGAATCGATCAATTGACCGCCTGCTAAAAACCAATCAAGCTCTACATGTGTTGCGTTGCGTTTGGAAGCTACTTTAGCAAGTGTTGTTGCTGTGCACAACAGCGCATCCAGCTTTTGTTGTGGACTCTGCGAATAGCCAGACCATACCGCCATATAAGTCTTGATCAAGTCGGATTTGCTCTTCAGCAAGAGCTTCACTGCTGATTGAAATGTGTTATCGCCTTCAATTTTACCATCAAATCTCTGGTCGGCGTGAATAAGATCAAACATGATGCCGTTGACAAACTGGATATTGTTGGCTTGGTTCTCTCCCGAATAAGGTTGACAGTACTCGAGGATAGCGGATACATCTAGGTAAGATGAGGCATAGTAAGCCAATGCCTGCGTGATGATTTCAGGGAGGTTGTGCTCAATGCCAAAAGAGAGCTGTACCAACGGCTGCATCTGGGACCCGATGGAAGGTTCAAGAGAGTAAAAGTATCTGTCCAACGTCTCCTCCAATCCCAAAGCAGACATCTGTTTGTCGAAAAAGACCAGATAATCACCATATGAACTATTAGATCATCAACACAAACATGTTAACAACAAAAAGTCAGCTGAGTTTGCGCTGTTGTATTTACCAAGATGTTCCGAGAAACTCCAACCAGTTTTCCTCATTGATTTTGTTGCTGGAATCAGTGACATGAAGAGATGCAACATCCAATTTGGTCTTTCCGTAAGCGATAGCTAGCTGCTCCTTGGTGGCTGTAGGGTGCTATTGTTTTAGCATGATGCTTCTAGGGCTCATCAAATGTCTACATACCTTTGAATTTGTGAAGATTGACCAGCACACGGACAATGTTGTTTGGGCGATCTCTCTGTTCCATATGGTACAACAGATGGTTTTCATGAACGATATCCAGCAACAAAGACCTGTCGATGGATACGTTGTCTTGAATGTACTCCAAGGATGAGAATGGCGCTTGCTGTTGAGCAACTGATTGACGTAGCATTGTTTGTATGTTGTAATTGAATAAAGAAGAAAAGAGATACAATGAGAAATTAAAGGCTGTATTTATATGCGAATATCGCAAAAGTCACCTTATTATTAGTTCCCCTCTTTTTTGTTGTTTAACCCAAGATGCTACCCAAAAAAAATCCTATTTCTAAATAAAGCCATTAATTTGCCTTTTGATGCTGCTATTCTTATCTACCCCTTGGGGTTTGCTAAAAATCAGAGAAAAAAGATTGTTGCTTAACATTGTTGTGAGCAATCAACCTACACCGTAACACATAAGCAACGCTAGTATATCCGTTACATCAGGTACTACCGTCTTGCAATCATCATTTGCCTTATTTCCTATATGAATCAATCTAATGGAACCAAAGAAAGAAACAAGACCTGTGTTCTAGACATCTTGTCCTGATTTCATTCTCCTTTATTTTGACGTATAGTTTGAATTATTGGCCATGATCTCTGTATTATATATACAGAATGCCCTGGATTTCAAATGAGATGAAGCTTCCTTGCTCATGTGTATGCAATGCAGTCAATCAAATCTTGGCTCGATGTATGAACAACATTTATCCTTGCTTGACCCTAATTGTGCATATGATTCGCTCTCAAATGTACCAACATTCTTAGCCCGATGGTTTTCATTTTGACCGTGCTTGTATTAAATGGAATTCGCTCACAAGTTTACTCCATGGACATAGAGATCAGCATTCATAAAGCATAGAGTGAGAGTATAGGCACCATGATGGACCTCGATAAGAACGCCATACATGATGGCTATCAGTCATGCGACTGTAAGTAAATCATGTAAACTAACATTTTGTTTAAACAACACATATCAAGAGCTGCTTCGCTTCGAAAAATAAATGATACAATAGTAGTGCGCATTTATATCAATTCTGTAATATAATTCCTCACAGCTGTAGTCCTGAATTAAAATGTTGGCACTTTTCTAACTGACAAGAGTGTAGCTCATCATCTCAATTATACAAAGCACAACCATATAACTTACTGTAAAACATTCAAGGTGAATGAAGCCGGCATTGGGGGGGGGGGGGTTTGAAGGAGGTGCTAAGCCCATCCACCAAAAACATAACGCACTTAATTCAACGTTTGGTAACATCGACCTTTGATGCAGTTTTACCGTAGCGAAGTGAAGGTAAAAAACCATGGCAACTAAGCATCTAACCCAACATTTGGTAATATTAATCTTAATGAAGGTTTTACCGTAGCGAAGCGAAGGTGCAAAACCATAGTATTCAAGCAGCAAATTCGGTTTTTCATTTTCATTATTAACAAGCTTACCAGCAACATAACGCATCAAAATTTGCATGAAATAGCTTTACCAAAATCATATGCTTCCTATTCGAATTGGGCATTGCACAAGCTGCAGAACTGCCCTTCTTCTAGAAGATTTCAGCTACCAAATATGCGATTCATTCCGTTAAATAAACTCTATAAAGCAAAAATACAGCCAAATTTGACAGCTTTCAAGCCTTCATATCTTGACATGTAGACCTTTCTGAGCTACCGGAATAACGCCAAACAATTGTACTTGAGTAGTAGTAATTTCCTGACACCTTTGCTCAACTTTTTGAAGACCCAAAATAACATGGCCAAAAATTGACCAAAAAGCATGAGGGGTACCTCATGGAAAACATCAAAAAATCAAACGATCGACTTTTTGTCCCCAAAAAACGAAGGCTTTTACTAAGGTATATATTAAATCGAAATGTTGCTCTCGGTCCAAAGCAACCTCTGAAACTTTGTTTGTGGAACTTTCATATGCAATTTTTTTTTAACTTTTTGACCAAAAACGTCATTTCATATTTTCCGACTTTGCTCTATAAGTTTGTATTGTTGCTTGCACCATCAGATGCGCCTTCAAAAGTACTCCCAGAAAGCTTAAGGGTGCATGGCATAATCATCATAATTTACATAGTCGAATCTCTGGAAATAGGTCAGCTGAGTCGATTTTGAACAAAATTTGTCCACTCTAGGAAAGTGATAAAGCGAAGAATAAATGAAATTTGATTAGCAAAATAAGGATGCTTAATCGTGAGCCATTGCCACTACTTACTACTACTACTACTACTCATTTGTACATAGCTCATGCACTAGTATTATTAGCTGAAGTCGGTCCTTAATGTGCATTTTGCTCAAGTAAGATATGCTTATAAGCATCCATAGTTTATTTGTAATTACAGAGGTATACTTCCATGTTTCTTCCAAGGGTTTTGCAACGACTTTGATTTTAGCAGTTCCAACTGCTCTATTAATCTTGCTCTTGTTTCTCTAAAGTAAACATGTGTCAGTTTCAAGTGGTTACTACCAATGCTTTTGATTGTAAATACCTTGGAGCAATAATATCATCCAAATATCCCTTCTTTGCTGCAAACAAAGGTGTAGCAAATTTGTCCTTGTATTCTTTTCTCATGGCCTCTTTATCAGGGTGGTTTCTAAAAATGATCTCAACTGCACCTTTGGCCCCCATGACAGCAATCTCAGCGGAAGGCCATGCCACACTTTCGTACTGTATCAGAATTGGGGGTTTCTGCGGGATGTATACGATAAAACTTACTTGTAATCACCACGTAAATGCTTTGAGCTCATGACAATGTAGGCACCACCATACGCCTTTCTTGTAATGACCGTCAGTTTAGGGACTGTAGCCTCACAGTAGGCATAGAGTAATTTGGCACCGTGTCTTATAATGCCCGCATGTTCCTGAGCTGTTCCTGGCATGAAGCCAGGCACATCCACCAACGTCACCAAAGGAATGTTGAATGCATCACAGAATCGAATAAAACGAGCAGCCTTGACCGAGGCATCCATATCCAATGCACCCGATGAGACAAGTGGTTGATTGGCCACCACGCCTACGGATTCACCATTCAATCGTGCAAAGCCAATCAACATGTTGCTAGCGAAATTGGGTGAAATCTCAAAATAAGAGTGCGTATCCATAATTCTTCCAATGACTTCCTTCATATCATATGCGATGTTGGAGCTTGCTGGTATAATGGTGTCGAGTGCTGCATCTTGACGGTCGATAGGATCATCGCAAGGTTGATGTGGTATTGTGTCTCTGTTGGATAATGGTAAATAAGGCAAGAAGTCTCGAAGGCCTTGAATGGCCTCAATATCATTAGCAAAGGAGCGATGTGCCACGCCGGTTTTGGTTGTATGTGTTCTAGCACCACCGAGAACTTCTTGGGACACATGCTCATTGGTAACAGCCTTGACGACATCAGGGCCAGTGACAAACATGTAGGATGTATCCTGCACCATGAATGTGAAATCGGTCAAAGCAGGCGAATAGACGGCACCACCAGCACAAGGGCCCATAATGAGCGATATCTGAGGCACCACACCAGAAGCAAGCACATTCTTCTGGAATATATCTGCATAGCCTGCAAGTGAATCAACGCCTTCTTGAATACGAGCTCCACCAGAATCTTGTAATCCGATAACAGGAGCACCTACCAACATGGCTTGATCCATTACCTTTAGAATTTTGTTGGCATTGGTTCGACTCAATGAGCCTCCCAACACTGTGAAATCTTGACTGTATACAAACACGCGCCGACCATGAATGGTGCCATGGCCAGTAACAATACCGTCTCCGGGAATCTTGTTATGCGCCATATTGAAATCAGTGCAAGCGTGCTCAACAAAAGCGTCATATTCTCGAAAGGATCCTCGGTCTAGCAGTAATCCCAGCCGTTCTCTCGCTGTAAGCTTGCCCTATCGGATGAGTGAGTTTAAGGTCGATCCATCAGATAGCAACACGGCTTCATTGTTACTTTGGCGTGCTGAGCGTTTTGCTTAGCTTTTCCTCCACCTAGAATACTTTCTTTTCGTTTCTTTTCAACTGCTGCTGCTGTTGTATAATGAGAATAGGGCAGCTATTGAAACTTTAAGAATCTGGATTGCAAGCAGTGATCTAGGAGAGACTTGCCTTGTACGTATTGATCAATGGCTTGCTAACGAATCGCTTAATGGAGGCTGACAATAACATTTTGGAGAGGTTGTAAATACGAAAAAGACCAGTGCAGGAAACCCCTTCCACATTTCACATCATTTCGATTCATTTGAATAGCCGCCCATGCCCTTCTCTGAAGGATCTGCTTGCCATCATAGTGTATCTCATACACTGTCTATTGCAAATAAACAGGGATTGCATACTACTATCTGTATGTTCTATGTACACCCTGCAAGTAGGGTCCATAGAATACACAGCCTGGCATGATATTGTGAATCAATGGCTTGATGTACATGTTATGGCAAGTCAGATCAATTGTCAGAAGCAGGCATCGTCTAATACTAGCGGCTTCTAACCTGACATACAGCTATGCTCTGCGCCATTTAGAGACTAACTGATTCAACAGCTCTCTGTCAGATTCTCCAAAACTATGTACATTCAAGTTTGACTGCACCACACGGGATGGCAACATCAGATGTGTCTCTCATTTCCCTTCCAGTGATTATACGTGGCTTCCATGTTTTCGTGTCACTAAAAAGGCAAAATACCTCGAATGCCATATCAATGCTTTGTGCCGTTTTGCTATGTAGCTTTCGCTATTAGAGGGAGAAAGAGAATTTGCCTAGCAAATTGAGACAATGCGATGGATGACATCTGATTGGATTGATGGGCGGCTTGCCAACCCCCAATGTCAACTGGATGGCAAGCATATAAAATGCATGAACTTTCTTTTTCCATTGAAAATTTCCTTTTTCTTCTTCTTCTTCTTGATTACAACACGAAGATTTATTATGGCGGATCAATTCTTCAACTCAATTGACGATTATGTGGGGCTCCAAACCGCCTCCATTGCACTACTATCGCTGGCAGTCATCCCTATTGTCGCTGGCTCTATTTGCTCACTCAAACTACTCGAGAACCCATTCTCTAATGCCGTGAAAACTGAAAAGAAATCACCGTCTCCTCGCGCTGCTCGAAGCTCTCGATCGCGTTCAAGGTCCACCAGTGTCCATCGCTACCAAACTAGAAGCCAAGACTACCAAGACAGCAACAGCATCAGTAGCGACGACGAGGATCTGATCGAGAAGATTGATATTTCCAAGGTCATCAATGTCAAGGACACGCTGCTTTTCCCTATTATTGCCTCTGCATTGGTATATGCCGTGTCTCATCTGATTGAGACTGTCGATCCATTGTACGTCAACAATGCCATTATGGTATTGACATCGATTCTGTCCATGACTGTATTTTCGAGCACCACTGCCATTGTTGCAGAGTCTATTTTACCCAAGCAAGTCTTTGATAGCGTTGGTAGATTCAAGTTTAGCTATACCAAGAAGAACAAGAGTAAGTTGCTGCCATCATGATGGTATCATAAGGGATGGGAGGAAAAAAGGGAATAGCAGGGTTGAAATTAAAGCTCATGATGCGTAGAATTATGTCATTTAAATGTCACTTTGATTCACTTGATTATCATCGCGGTTTCCATTGGCTTGGCCGTTGCCTATGCATGGACACAACATTGGGTCATTGGCAACCTGTATGCCATTTGTATTGCCATTCAGGCTATTCGATGCTTGACGCTGGATTCATTTGGTACAGGATACTTGCTGTTACTGGGCATGCTGGCCTACGACATGTTCTGGGTGTTTGGCACAGATACCATGGAATACCTCTCCAAAGTGCTGGTCTATGCGCCAACCAGTGTTATGTGGCCCAGAAATATCAATACGTATGTTCACAACACGTTGCTCAAGAGCGATCACTATTTCACCATGTTTGGGTTAGGAGAAATAATTGTACCAGGTACGTTTGACTGCATTGGGGTAGTAGGGAAATAAAAGCTGACTTGTGCGTGTAGGCATTTTCATTGCTTACTGTTTGCGTGTGGATCAGTCGAATGCTTGGAGAAGCAGCAAGCCGAGATCCTCCTTCCGTAAGCCTTACTTTACCTTGGCGTTGATTTCCTACACATTGACAGCAGGTGCTTCTATATACACGGTTCATTTCACCAAAAAGTCTCAATCAGCCTTTTTGTACGTCGTGCCTGCATTGATTTTGACAACGCTTGCTTTGGCAATCTACAGAGGTGAGTTGAGTGCTGTGTGGGACGTATCCGACATCCTGGAGACGTTCAAAGAAATCAATGGGTTCCACACCGAGGAGTACAGGCCCACCCGAGAAGAGAGATTAGCTGAGCGACAAGGCAACACAAGATCCAGTAGAAGCGCAAGTGCTAGTGCAAGACGAGGTTCGACTGCGGGTGTCGTTGAAGAGGTGTTTGACGAGACCAGAAAGATGGTAGCACCCATCATTGAAGAGGCGGCTGAGGTGACATATAATGCAGCTGAAGAAGCTCGTAAGGCAATGACTCCCTATTACGAAGAGGCTGTCAAGAACACAACAAGAGCCGTGCATGCAGTTGCTACCAAGGTGCAAGAGCAAACAGCGCTGGATGAGGATACAACCATTGAGCAGGATGTCATTGCTCAACACAGGAATGATCCCGTTCGATCCACTTCAAGAGGCCGTGGCCGTGGAAGAGGTCGTTCCCGTGGACGTGGCAGAAGTCGGTCTACATCTGTAGCAGCCAGAAAGAGAAGTTCGAGTAGAGCCAGCAAGAGAAGCGCTTAGATTATTTTTGTTTCAAATAAAATCACAACGATAATATACTGCATGTGTGAAGGAGGACAGTTTATATTGGTGTGAGACACTATACTACATCGAACTAAACTACGGGGCCAACTCCTTTGACAGCTGATACAGACTTCTCCACATGACAGACTGCAGCGTATATTCGAGCATTTTTACTCATAGTATGGACAGCAGCATCTGTATGAACAAATAGACATGGATCTATGCAGCCATTGTTCGGGTGGTATTTATACTACATGGCAAGTCTGTAGAGGCCTGCTGATACGAACACTAGATCGGCATTAGTATAAGCACAGCAACATTTAGATGAGGTCTTTCGCTTACCAACACCCGTTACTCCCAGCCCAACTGCCGTCTTTGCTCTGCCTGGTAGCTTATTTACAACAGATGCTTCTCGCAAAGCATAGGCCCCTAAACCTCCAAAGCCTAATGCACCAGTGATCTTACAAGGCAGACAATCCTGAAAGGCCTGTTGATCATCATTGGCCGTTATGGTCTCTTGATTGTTATCATTGCTGTTGTTTGTCAGTGTTGAATGGATTTTCTATGTAATGACAGGCAGCTTGGTTAGTGGAATCATTACCAAGATGGGCTCAGAGCCTTACATTCAACATGGCTTGTTTTATTTTCGAAAGAACGGCTCGACTAATGCAAGTAGATGGGTTACTACGGGTTTGGTATTGACAGAGACACGGTCACAGTAATTGAAGTATTTTTAATAGGTAAATGTTGATGCGACTCATGCCATTTTCTTTACACTTTGTATATTTATATCACAGATTCACAGAATATGAAGCCTGCTCGCGTACAAGTATGTGTTTCTACAAGATGGTGTCGAATCCAATGTACTGACCGCATGCCAATATAGGTAACTCAAGCTCAACTGGATGAATACCTCAAAGAAAAGAGACCAGAAGGCGGCACCTACAATATCTGGCATCATCGTTATTCTGGACTCGAGAGAGACTTCAACAAGACAAGGTAAAACATGCCAACCCCACGTATGAGCGGCAAAGAGGTACTAATTTCAGCATTAGCGTTCGACCCAAATTCAAGGTAGACATTGCCAGAGATGCTGGCGAGACATTGGGTTCTCGAAACAAGAACGCCTACTTTTGTTTGTTCTTTGCAAAGGGCATGTGCTCCAAAGGACCCAAATGTACCATGTGGCATAGAGTACCTACAACAGACGATGTATTGGAAACCACAATTGATTGCTTTGGACGTGATAAGTTTACGTAAGTGTGCTCATCGAGATTGGGTCCATGTAGTGGATATTGACTGTGATGAACTAGTGAATTCCGTCAAGATATGGGCGGTGTTGGTGGTTTCATTCGTGAAAACAGGACGTTGTATATTGGTCGCATCACTGTTACAGATGATATCGAGGATGTTGTGAGACGTCAGTTTGGTCAATTTGGTCCTTTAGAAAGAGGTAAGAGGGATGCGATGGGCAAATGGCATGTGGCATGTATATTGAAAGACTGTCTACAGTGAGAATTTTGAGAGGACGTGGTGTTGCTTTTGTAACATACAAGACGAGAGCCAACGCTGAATTCGCCAGAGAAGCCATGATGAATCAAAGTCTCGAGAACAACGAAATTGTCAATGTGCGTTGGGCCACAGCTGATCCCAATGCTATTGCAAATCGCTTAGACGCAGAAGACGATCGTTTAGAAGCAGAGCGAATTGCAGCATTACGAGCTGAACACAATCTGGACGACCAGACAGAAAATCAAGAAGAGGAATCCGAACTACCCGCTGAATTCACGAGTCTCAAGCGTGATGTGGATGAAGATGGATTCAGCCAAATGGAGCAAAAAGTCAAAAGACAGAGAGCTGAAATAGAGGCAGCACAAGCACAGGAGGAAGCCGCATCTGCTCCTCTCGCCTACGAATACACACAAGAGGATTACGATAATTATTACAAACAGCAAGAAGAATATTATAAACAGCAAGCATTAGAAGCACAACAAAATGTCAAAGTGGGAGGCATTATTCCTCAGAATGTACTGTCTAATTTAAAGGGCTTTTCAAAAGCTACACCAGTGAATACCACCAATGCTGCTAAACCCACAACAGGATTAGGCAGTTTGACAAATTATGGTAGTGATAGCGAAGATGATGAATAATAATAATAAAAAAAAAAAAAAACCTATTCACTCAGCCATTCATTGATGCTTTCGCATCGGGCCACTCAACAAGTGTACAACTTTGCAGATACAGATTATCTGCTCTGAACAAGGATGGAGAATCATCATTGTGAATAAGTTTTTTTTTTATTGGGAAAAAAAAAAAAAAAAAAAAAAAAAAGAGGCAAAAAAGATTTTCGTGTCAAGTGAGAGGGTTTTATATGGTGCAATTGAGTTTGTAAATGGCGTGGTGTGTGCCTGAGATGTGGTGAGAGATGATGGTAGTGGAGAGAGGTATTGGACCATGTTCACTTGGTGCTAATTTGTAGACACCAAAAGCCACGTTCTAACAAGTTGATCTTTTCGTATCATGTATCACTTCTTGCTTGAGTCTCGCTAAACTTGACCTCAAGCATTTGTTCGTATTGGGGATGTCGTGTTGCATATAGGGTTCAGACTTGATGTGTGCATGATGGGCATGTGCAGTAGGATCCTAGCTAGTAGTAGAGTTTTGAGCCGTAGTAGAAAAGCAACATCCTGAGTCAGAGGAAGAATAGTGTCGATGCTGAAGACTTGTAATGTACTATCCATGTTATATATCAGCAACACTATCAGCCCTGACAGCCCCACTCTTTACATGCATATGTAGCTTTCACGCCATTGAACGCAGCCTCTTGAGAGTACAAATCTTCCAAGCTCTGACAAACGAGAATCTTCCTTCAAACACAAGCGTCATAAAAGCAAGCAGCATCTGCTTTGGCTTTGAAATGAAGCAAACAAGATCTACAAGGCTTTGATATTGAATACATTGCTCTGAACATTGCATCGTCTATTACGAACCCAAGTTGCTCTTGAGGTACATGATTGCTTTTGATTATGGAACATCGATTCATTACCTGCATCACATCACTTTCAGTATGGCCTTTGAGAGACGCACCAAAGACCTGTTATAAAATGTCAACAATACGTGCAAGACTTTTCAATAAAGTAGCAACTGTAGTCGAGGATGGGAAGACATGTGTGTGTGTGTTTTTTTTTTACTGCTGGTAGTCCAAGCAAAAGCTTATCATGCGATAGCCATGCTCTCCCTTCCCGCTATTGTTGTTGGCATAGGCAGTTTTAGCCACAAAACCCATGGTACAATCATTTCACAGCAGGTGTTGCCATGACAATCAAGGTGATTCGAGTGTGGTGTACAGACAATCTTCTTGAAACGTCGTAGACGATGACAGGCTGTCAATGCAAATGGCCATCACCGAGAAATAGCCGTCCTGATGCCTCCTGTTGACATTCCATTTGATGTCCATCTCATTAAAGCCCAGAGTTTTCTCTTTACATACCAACTATACAAACATGAGTGAAATGCTATATTGCGAGAATCCTGAATGGAAAGATGTTACGCCTATACCCCAAGACGATGGACCCAATCCTCTTGTTCCTATTGCCTATGCCAAAGAGTGTAAGTAGAGCATGTACTCTTGATGCACTCTTGTTGACGCTATTGTATAGATGCTGATGCCATGGACTACTTTAGAGCAGTAACTCGCGCTAACGAGAAATCCCAGCGCGTATTGGCACTTATCCAAGATATCATCGACATGAATCCTGCTCATTACACTGTATGGAACTATAGACAGCAAGTGTTATTTGCTCTGAATGCAGATTTAGACAAGGAGTTGGATTACATTGATGACATTGCTGCTGATCAAGCAAAAAACTATCAAGTCTGGCATCATCGTCAAGTGATTGTGGATCGATTAAGCAAGGGCGACAGAGAGCTGCCCTTCATCAACTCGATTTTAGAGGAGGATTCCAAAAACTACCATGGATGGTCGTATAGACAGTGGGTGGTGAAGCGATTTGGCTTGTGGGACAGTGAATTAGCATACACAGACGACCTGCTGGTGTTTGATGTGCGAAACAATTCAGCTTGGAACTACCGTTATTACATCTTGTTCAACAACCCAAAAACGCCCTCAGAGGAAGTCATTGCATCCGAGATCAAATTCACAGAAAAGCAGATTGTATTGGCACCCAACAATGCCAGCAGCTGGGCCTATCTCAAAGCGTAAGTCTGTATCTATTGAGAAAGAGAGACACTGGCATACTAAAGCAGGGCTGATAGATTGCACGAAAAGACAAACAAGCCATTGAATTTGATCGAGCCCTTCTTGAAGCAGCTTGTCGACAAACATGTCGAATCACCCTTCTTATTGTCCATGTACATTGACATTTACGAGCAAAACGCAAAGCAGGGAAATACAGCTGTTGATCCAGCTGCTTTGGACATGTGCAGGGTATTGGCTGAGAAGATGGACGCCATTCGTGAAAAATACTGGCATTACCGGTTACAATCATTGCAAAAGCTGAACATTACTGCCACTGTGCATTAGTCAACATGAGAACAGAAATGTCCGTGTGAAATCCTAGCAGTTTTGATATTCCGTTTTCGAGTAATAAATACTACCCATCTCTTTCTTTCCTCCTTTATCTTTACATTCAGCACTAATCACAATGCGTATCGCTGCTGTTCAATTCCACATTGACCACAAGAACAAGGAGGTGAACTGGTCCAGGGCAGAAGACTTCATGATGGATGCTGCCAAGCAAAAGGCAGACTTGATTGTGTTTCCAGAGTAAGAGCATGTAGGCCAATGATGCGATCCAAGACGCATAACTATCCTCAATAGGTATTTCGTTGGCGGACCTGGCAAACACATGGTAGAAAAGACGGCTCCAGGTGAAGCTGTCAACCGCTTCAGCGCATTAGCCAGAAAGTATGAAATGGACATTGTGCCCGGTACCTTGACAGAACGTGATCCTACAGATGGACATGTCTACAACACTGCTCATTACATTGACAAATCAGGCAATGTGCTGCTAACTTACAGAAAAGTGCACCTGTGGCATCCTGAGCGTCAATACATGAAGAAGGGAGAGAACGGCTTTTCCACTGTCAAGAATAGATTTGGCATCGAGATTGGATTGTGCATCTGCTGGGACATTGCCTTTCCAGAAGTCTTTCGAGAGTTGGCTATGAAGAGAAAGGCTCAATTGATCATTGCACCCGCGTATTGGAGTCTGGATGATGGTGGCGAATTGGCTGTGGCTGAAGACCCTCTTTCAGAAGCCAAAATGCTAAACTCGATCAGTACTGCTCGTTGTTTTGAAAATGGCATCGTTTTTGTGCTCTGTAACCCTGCAAATGATGGCCAAGTAGAAAGAAAGCAGCCCTTTGGTACCATGGCTGGACGCACTCAAATTGCTGTTCCCTTCAAGGGCCCTGTAGCTCATTGCGATCATGAACGTGAAGAGATGATTATGGCCGATGTAGACATCAAGACGATCACAGAGCATGCTGAAGAAGTGTACAAGGTTAGACAAGATTGGGACGCAGGATTAGTGTATGGCGGGTCTGCAAACTGTGGAAAATCGAGTAGAATCTAGTGCTCGGCAATAAACACACATTTTATTTTCTGACAGAGGATGCAAATTTGTCTATAGCACCAGAGAAGCGAGCAATACCTTCTCTGGCCTCTGCTTTGGTCAAAATAAGAGGAGGAATAATGCGAATTGTATTGTTGCCAGCTGTCACCAACAGCAATCCTCTTTCTCTTGCATACTTGATCATGGGCTCAGGATTCTTGAAAAACTCTACGCCGAGCAACAAACCCTCTCCGCGCACTTGCTTGATAATTTCGGGATACTCATCTTGCAGTGCTTTGAGATCTCGTTTAATCGCATGGCTGACTTCATCCACGCTTTTGAGGAAATGAGGGTTGGTAATTCTATCAACAACACCTAACGCCACTGTAGCAGATAATGGATTGCCGCCAAATGTAGTGCCATGGTCACCTACAGACATCAAAGTGTCAGTTGGCGAGTTTAGCTGTGTGATAAATCATCGGCTCTTACCAATCTTGATTGCTTCAGCGACTTTGTTGGTGGTCATCAGTGCGCCAATAGGCACACCATTCGCCAGAGGTTTCGCCATGGTGAGTATGTCGGGTGTACAGCTGCTGTCATAGTACTGATGTGCCCACATCTTTCCGCTTCTACCCAAGCCGCACTATTTTCCCCATTGTCAGTCCATTGTTAACATAGGCATGGATGCAGCGCATACCTGAATCTCGTCAAATATCAGCAAACTGTTGGTCTCAGTACATCTCTCTCGCAACGCCTTGATGAAATCTCGGTCTGCCACATGAACACCGCCTTCACCTTGAATGGGCTCAACAATCACACCAGCAGTCGATTCATCCACTTCATGCATGATTTCGTAAATGTTGTTGAAAGGCAATACACTCACATCTGGTATAAGCGGAGCACACGGATCCTGATACTTTTTGACTGGTGTTACCGATAAGGCGCCCATCGATCTACCATGGAATGCATTCTTGAAACACACAAGCTTGGTCTTCTTCTCGCCGCCCACCATCTTGCCCCACTTGCGTGCAAATTTGAGAGCGCCTTCATTCGCTTCCGTACCAGAATTACACAAAAAGATTTTGTTTGCCCATTCCTGCTTGCTGTATAAATGTGTTGTTTCCACTAATTTCTCGGCCAAAAGACTGGCTGGTGTATTGTGATACAGATTGCTGGAATGCACGAGCTTTTGAGCTTGATCATAGAGGTCTCTCGCCACTTGGGGGTCTGCGTGGCCTAATGCGTTGACAGCGATACCGGCAGTGAAATCAAGGTAGGCGCGATCGTTGGCGTCGTAGAGATAGCAACCTTTGCCATATTCAAACACAATGTTGGGGCGATTGTACAATGCAACAGTGTATTTCTTCAAGCGGTCAATGGTATCAAATGTGGATTGAGACACCTGGTTGTCAGGATGCGTGATTTCAGTGATGGCTCGTGGAAGTGTAGCAATGGATCTGATTGAAACGTGACCAAGCTGATAAGAACGGCTCAGGGCACGTTTGAAGAGCAATGGTGTGGATAGCATGTTACTGTACTATATGACTGAGAGAAGAATAAAGTATAATCCTCTTTTTTTTTCTGTTGCCTTTATATATTCTAAAACATTGCAACATTTTATCATTGGTTTGATCTGAATCATCCCAGTTCTACATCTGACACAAATTGCTGGTGATTTTATTAAAAAGGAAAATGAAGTGTTGTCTTCTTTATATAACAACACACAGTATAAGTGCATAATATAATACGTACATACGATTAAGCCTATACTGATTGTATAGCTTAGTATATTGCACGGTACAATTATTTGTCTCATTTGATGAGTGCCTTGCGCATAATTTTATCGGATACGCAAAAAGATGGAATCTGATTGTACCACCAACGGATCAAAATGCATCTATGAAACCCGTAATTCTTAGACAGTGTTCGGTAATTTTCCTTGGGCCATCCCACAAAAGACATGAACGCATACAATGCAATTCAAAGCTGATTGAAAAGTAATTCAGGTTGATGTATCAATACAAAAAGTCGCAGTGACTAGAGAGCATATCAACTATAAGACTGCAGGTCGCAGGGTTACAATCAAGAGAAATTAGTCTACATGAATACTAAATAATTTCGGTCAGTTATCATTTATTCATATGCCATTACCATTCTGTTTTAGTTTAAAGTGATCATCTATCTATATCAGCTGCCATCAGATGATTAAATAATCCTTGGAAATTTGCACGAGCTCTATATGAGCTTAAAGGGGTAGTTACAATGGAAATGGTGGCTGGCATTCAACAATCGAAATTTTGGAGTTTTACCAGCAAGCCCTCATAAGTTACCACTTTCAAGGTAACGATGGATGCGTGACATGCTGGCGAGCTATGCCTCTAGGACTAGATGGCTGTAGCTTGCTTTGTTTTTTGTCTTCAAGCCTTGTATTCTATGGTATCCGTACGTTGCCCGCCTAAATACGCCATCCGTACAATGCCCTTCAACTCGTCTACTAGGACCTCCCCAAGCTTCCCAGTAGGCAAATATGCTTTGTTCAATGTAAATGTAGCACATATCTTACTATTTGGCGGTGTTATTCCTCATGAAGCATCAAGTTCTAAATGTGCAAACCGATTTTCGATGTTGATTTTGGAATTATCCAGGATCAAGGTTAAAATATTGATGCTAAAGCTTTGAAAGTAGCATGTTCCATAGCAAAATTATGCGAGGAAAACAATGTGCAGTTGGGTTTTTAGACTGGATGGTGGGTTGTTGTTCAGAAACGGACGATTTACGAATCGAGACAATTTCGAGCAAAGACCTTCTATATATAAATCCTTTTAAATGCTGTTAATTATAAGGGATGGCGAGTGCTAAATCGATAGATAAGGTATTGGAAAGCTTTGTAGTGAAAGCCTCTTGGTTAAATCTTTCTTTGTTGTTTGCTTGGCAAAGAGCCAAAAGTGCGTTGAACGTTTTACTAAAAGAGGGAATCGCTTTTTCATGCCCGAAGCCAACAATGCTAGAGACTTCATTTCGAAACAATTATATGCCCACATGGAGGGGTTGCTAAACCTCATATGAGCGTATTCTCAGCTGCCACATTGTCTGTCAAATATTTATTAAGTGAGAGAAGTACAAAATTAATCATCAATATAAAAAGAAACATGGTTTCTTTACTATTATCCATACAACTGACAATTCAACCAAGGGGTTTCTCTATTAACCAATTTTTGCCTCCCTATATTTGCTTTAGAAAAAAAGAAACCTCATTTGGGCATCTAACGCGATACTTCCTTTCAAAGATTGGCTGTTAACCCCTAAATTCGCGGTTTGCAGTGACAAAGACATGTTCTTTGATAACAACAACATAGAGACGTCCATATGGTGCTCAAGCCCACAGAATAAATTCAGGATGTGCATTGACTGATGTTGGCTCACAAAAGAAAACATATTATATGCACATTATTGTAGTGAAAGATAGCTCTTTAGCGACTGATTTCGGACAATTCGGCTAGAGGGCTAACCTTTTCGGCAGTTTACAGTAGCTCAGTGAAGCCATTTATGCCTGATTTTACTACAGTTTGTTGATGTCGACTCCTGTACCATAGAATCTATACGTATCATGAATCCCTGTTCGATAGATTTTGATAAATCATTTTGTTGTTGCCTCGCATCGTACCGAGCCCGATTTGGCGAGTCTGGTATCAGTCATTCTCCCTTAATAATCATGGGTGTTCAGCATCGTGGATAGGCTTTAGGTAGCTTTGGGGCTAGATATAGTGTCTCTGTTATGACCGGGCATCAAAAGGAGTTCTACCGACCTGATAAGCATTTCGTTGAACACGAGCAAGTCATTGGATTCAAATTGGCTTAAAACATTGACGCTCAAGTCGTAACATTATTGTTCCGTACAATGCAGAGCATCCGGGTCGTTAAACAGATTGTGATTTACTTGCTCCTTTGGCAACACAACCTACTAGACCTTCTTTTTAGGCTAAATTCTGTTCAAATTTAGCCATTTTCAAGCATGAATAACTCATGCCACAAAGCGTTTTGAACGCTTAGAATAACGCCAAACGGCTCTTCTTGGCTACGCTTTACTTCCTGATGCTTTATCTCAGTTTTTTTTGGGTCGTTGCAAATTCATGAAAATCATCGTTTTTCCATGAGTATTAGCAAGGGAGAATTCTTGAAAATCAAGCGATCGCGTTTTTCACCCCAAAAATGGAGACTTTTCCTATGATACATATCAGATCAAACTGATCGCAAAAACAGTATGCAACACTGGAAACTGTTTCTATGAGGCTTTTATATGCTAAATCTTGACATATTCACAGAAAACCTGTTTTCATATTTTTACAAATTGCTCATTATTTTCAGTCTAAAAGCTGCATAAAACTAGCATCATTCGATGCGGCTTCTTTGGTCCTCTGAAGATGTGTTAGAAAGTTGGGTGTAACAACGACAGTTTTCATAGTCAAATTTGGTAAAAACATTTAAAAGATGTCAGATCAGGTCAAGTTTGAACACGAAAATACCCACTACACAAATTCAAATTAAATTGCCGCAATTACGGCTGCTACGGTACATGACGACTGAGACCAAATCTACTGGTCGTGACGTCGGATAGGGTGCCCTTTTATTTTTCCATGCCCTCGTTTTTTACCCTTTTTGCAAAACGCGTTTTGGTATCAAACCTTGGTGGTTTTGGACACCGTTTAATTGATAATAACACTCTAGCTTCCGATAACTCTCTCTTGTACTGTTGGAAGAACTTGATACTGCTTCTTTGAAGTGGAATATATTAGGTACTATTCGATAACGAGCACTGGAAGGTGTAGAATTAACACTAATTCAGTTTGTTTATTAGGTTTCGATAATTTTTTTACCTGTTCGACGTGGGTGCTGCTGCCATTCCTTTTCTGCTATCTCTCCTGTCTGCTTCTTTGGTCTTTGTCTGGTCTCTGCTTGGTGTCGTTTGTTCTTTGGTTTTTCTATGGTGCTGGTGTTGCTGCTGATGTTGTTGCTGCTGCTAATCGGGTCTTTCATGGTATACTACTGTCTTTGGTGCATGCTCGTTCTCTGGTGTCGTTCGTTCTCTGGTTTGTCTATGGTGCTGGTGTTGCTGCAGCAGCTGCTGCTAATATGGTCTTTCCTGGTCTACTGTGTTTGGTGCACGCTCGTTCTCTGGTCTATATCCGGTGATTGCGTATCCTCTGGTCTATCTACGGTGGTGATATATAGTGATTGACTTTTTTGGTCTTTTTCTGGTCTCTGCTGGTGTTGCTCGTCCTTTGGTTTGTCTATGGTGCTGGTGTTTCTACTACTGCTGCTATTATGGTCTTTCCTGGTCTACTGCGTTTGGTGCTGCATGCTCGTTCTCTGGTCTATCTATGGTGTTGGTAAGTGGTATCTTCTTTCTTCTGGTCGCAATGATATAAAACTTCTTTGAACGCTTGTATTATTGCTTCCTTTCTCATGATAATGCATTCATGATGTTTACTTTGTTGTGCTTTTCTTCTTCTTTTGTTGGTTGTGTTGCTTTACATCCGACTATTACCATGCATGTTACTCATGTATGGATTTTTGTTGCAACAACAACGAGTTGTTCTGAACGTCTCTGATGTTGTGTTTGTTATATCTTTCTTTGACTCACTTTGTGTGAGTATCCCTTTTTTGTCTACTTACTACTATACTCCTATAGTAGTATGTTCTTTTCTTGTTTCTTTTATTATTATGTTTCTTTTGAAGCATACCTTTTTTTACGTTGTGTGGATGTGCCTATCCCTGAAGCTCAACAAGACTCTATCCGAAGCTAAGAGGTAGATAGGCTGCCTCCACTTGGTTATCACTACTTACTTTAGTGATGATTGAGGGCCTCAATGCCTGAATTTAAAGCTAGGTGATGTAAGTAAGGCATGGTCTAGCACCTGGGGGAAATTTGATGATAGCAGCGGCTATATTGCTATTATAGCGGCGCTTAAAATTTTGCCTCACATCAAAACAGGGGGAAACCCTCGCAAATTTTTTTTTAGGTCAGCGGAGTTTTCAAGCAATCTGATTGGCTCAGAGGTTGAGGTAGCAAAGAGTTACAACCGGTTGATTTCCTATTGATCTGTCATTTATAATAGTTTTGTCTTCTGTAATAATAAAAGTGTAATAAAACGGAAACAATTTAAATTCTTGTTCGTTCATTAAATTTATCAACCATTAAATGATTTTATGTGAATAATTTTTTTTAAAAAGTATTTTTTTAGGAGAAATCATTTAACAGGTGTGGAATTTGAGGCTTGATAGACTAAAATTCACGGGAAAAAAAAGAATAAAAAAAAACAGTAATGTCAACTTGATAAAGGTATGTTTTATTATCAAACTGACAGATGTAAAGTAAACTGAAGTCTCTCTACTGGCCAGGTAGATGATCCTTCTTATATACTATAACAATGGATAAAAGTTCTATTAATTCGATTGACAAATAAGTCAACTCAGATCAACTAATGTTTAATCATGCTAAAAGACAACTCCAGCAAGCTAATCATGATT